TATTGCATGAAGTTGAGTGTAACGATGAACATTTCCACCCCAAAGACAACCATTGTCGACCGAGGCGCAGCATAGGTTGACAATGGTTTCGAGAGGTGAAAATGTTTAATGTTACACTTAACTTCATGCGATATTTATTACATTATACTGAATGTTTAAACAAATACATATTACAGTAAACCTTCCGCGCATAAATTCTGCGCAGTCAACATTTTTTGTAATATTACCCGTCGTCAAGCAAGGTTGACTGTTGCTACGCTGGAAAGCGTGTACATGTATTCATTATTTAGAGGATAATAGTATTTTTTAACAAATGTTTCTCGGCGAATCAGATTCAAACAATTTACATTAAAGTATTATATTATAAAAATAGGAGCGGGGCACATACGCACATCCAAAACATCAGAGTACGTGGGATCAGGTGCCATGAAGGAGTGAATATCCCCTGCCGACCTGTCAAACCCGCCGTGTGTTCCTTGTCATAATTGGAAAATAACAGAAAAAAATGTGGACAATTCAGTGTGTAAATGATAGCCTTACAATCAATATGAAAAAATTCAGACAGCATTTGACTTAATGATAATTTGTATTTGCTGTGAAGGTCACTGTATCGACCATACAACTTACGAAATGATGACTTTAAACGAGACTGTTGATATTCTTGCTTCCCCAACTTGTTTGTCATTAACTTAACACGTTATGTATCTGATGAAAGCATATATTGCATATATATGATATTCTGGGATTATCGAATCAATCAATCAATCAATTGAGTAGATTTAAATTCAGCATTTTGTTAATTTTCTATAATCATTATACTAAATGACCATATTTGCAACAACAGCCTATCATTTATTTCGGCTGACATTTTCAGAGAATTCATTATGTTTGGCCTCTGTTTTTATACTAAATTTGACATTCGAATACATGTATTTTGACTACTTCAAATAAAGCTAGGGTTTACGGCGAGTGTGTGTGATCAACAGGAATGCTTTTTTCCCTATAGACATCAGTCTCACCTCTGGAATATCCTATGACCTGTGTGTTGTGTTTACATTTTTTATTAATTTGATCACTGCTTGTTATCTTCACCCTTTTCACAGCTTCAGGCAATATATTCTAGTATTATACTTCTGTTAAAATGTTTCCTATATAAAGTTCAGAAGGTAAAATGACTATCTTTTATAGTCCACGCATAGCAAAGCTATACCCCGGGGTATATTTTTTGCTATCCACCCTCGGAAAATTTTCATGCAATTTTTGCCTCCAATTTTGATTTCCAACGATAGATCTATCTACTGATAATGCCATAATGACTTCAGTAGCATTGTGACATCATCAGGATTTCAGATTATTCTTGCAGTATTATCTTACTCCGAAAAAATTCAAACCTCAGAAATTATATTATACATCAGCATAATAAAACGCTTATCCACTGTTTGTGAGTGGGATAACTCTTTTATCAAACCCTTGACAGAGACTATTCCCCTCGGGCAAGCCCTCGGGGAATAGTTCTCTGTTTGATAAAAGAGCTATCCCACTCACACCCAGTGGATAAGTGTATAGTATACACCATGCTAAAATCTGTACAATGGACAGGGGATTTAAAGATCATGCATTCAGTGGTAAAAGAAGAGTTGCGGATAAGAGATGGGCACTCAAAAGCGTAACGAATGGGCGTACAGACGGAAGGACGGACATTCCGATCTCTATATACCTTCCCGCTATTCAAGCTGGATTAAAATAAATTGGGTCGATTGGTAAGCGGGAAAATCTTCTTTTCCCAAAAATATTTAACAAATATTAACGGAAATGAGTATTCGGGAATGAAAAAAATCCCCTTCATTTCTGGAGGTTAATAAAAGTTTTGAGTCGGGGCAATTTAAGCCAGTCGGTCTGGAGAGCTCAATCAAACAATTTTTAAAAGATGATCTCAAATAAAAAGTGTTGCTCATGCCTGAAATAGATTTTTTTAAATTTTAAATTCATTTGTAAGACTTAGAATTTTAAAAAATAAAATGAATTAAGTGCTTCAATCATTAATTTCAAAAATATTTTATGAAGCAAAGTGGCTGTTTCTTGATTGATTGAATTATATATGTCCATAAGGCATTGAAGTAAAAACAAGAAACTTCAAGGTGTACAAAACTCAACCTGTAAACCAAAGGTATCTGGTACCCGAAGTTTCTTTTACTTTATCAGCGAAAGATTTATAGGAAAATAATTAATTCGGCAATAACTAAACTCATGAGATCTAATAGGTAAGCAGGAATAATATATTTTTCGTTTACCTTTTTAGGAAAATTCTACCGGTCCATTTCCTAATTTTCCCCTTTTGTAACTTATCGAAAATAAATGATGCTTTAAAATTAAATCAAATTAAATGAAGAATATACAAAACCCTTAGTGCATGATTTCACTAAGATTGTGTAAGTTTCACTTCATAAACGTAGGAAATCAATAATGCAGAATCATGTACATTGAAGAATGAAACAAAGTCGTTTTTAAAATGTGAAAATAAACAAATGTATTACATTTAATTATACAATTTATTTGACTTGCTTTGGTGGCCTTACCCACGCATTTCCATGTTACGGAGAGTTGTTTGGTTTGTCCTGGACATGGATCACCCAACACTCTGGCGTAAACATTAACTGAGCAGGAAACTTGATTGTCGCAATTGCTTTGGAGAATCGATGTGACGTCATCTGAACACCCTCCGCTGGAGTACGTTGCGGATTGGATATTTATGACGTCGGTGACACTTGGATAGTCGTTACAAGTTGCACTGAATGTTGATACCTCTGGTACGGTATCCGTGTGAGCTATAAGATAAAATGGAAGCTTTTAATAAGCAACATTTGTATAAATGAGGATATTAACTAGAATAGCCTACTTGATGACCAGAAAACTTGGGTAATTGCTTCATAATACTGTGCGTGTACATTATTTGGCGTATTCAAAATTTAGCGCAATCACTGGGTGTGGAGTAGTTGGCGTAATCATGAATTAGCGCTACTCATGTCAATTCAGTGTATTGTATATGTAAATGATTTCTTAGCGGGATTTAATTTAGCGCATTGTTGACGCGCCAAAGCCGCTAAAATATGAAGCCCGCTTTTTAAAGTACACATACCGTATTTATCATTTTAATCCAAATGTCAAACTGGGGTATAAAAAATATGACACCCGAGTTTGCTGTAAACCAACTTTATTCGCGCGACAGCCTCGTCATCGCGAAGAATTCTCGCCGCGAACCGGCACATAAAGTCTTTCTGTCTATTTACACAAATCGAAAAAGGCTTGATTGCGAAAATTAATCGTCGCCAACTAGTTTACCCCTGGTAGATCGCGGAATAAGGTCGTCACAAACAAAAGTTGGTTTACAGTATTTCAAATGGTTTCTACTGGATTTTTTCTCATTGCATTCATTTCGTTGTGGAGCAATATCCTTACTGACTGGCTGATGTTTTACCCGAAATGAACTTTTGTGAATATATTTTCTCCGTCACGTTCGTCCAGTTTTTCGCCTGTCTGTCTTTCCGTCTGAAAAAGTTTTCGTCACTAGAAACGTCTGGCTAATTTGAACAAACTTGCTAAAAAGCACCTATTGAAACCAAGACTTTTTTGTTCACGTGAAGGATCATGCACTATTTATTAGGAAGACGATTCAGAATTTATGTCAATTTGGTGGCTTCATTTAAAAATCTTCTTAATAATCACTTCGCCAAACAAGTAAAAATTTATATAGAATCATCATTACAAAGTGTAGATTCAAGTTTTATCTAATCATGACCTCCAAGGGTAGGATTAGACTAAAATTAGTAAAATTAAACTTTGATGCGACAAGCCCATGTAAGAAGATGTCCTTTTTCAGGTATCCACAGTTTGAAAATAGGCACCAAATATGTACGTCGTATGCTAGATAATGGGGGTCCGAGTAAGGATTCCAAAGCGCCGGTACATGTAACAACTAGGCGACACACACACACATCGCGTTATCTCCCTTGAGAGACTGACACAACGGCCGTTGCAACAACGTGAGCAATGAGCTCATTAAATGATACCCAGCCTCCCATATGAATATTAAGGCAGTGTCCATTTTTGCTACGGGAAACTCAAAATATGTGTCGGATGAGAAAGTAAAATAAGAGGTGCACAATGGCAACATGTAATAAAGATAATGTGAAAGTTTCATCAAATTTTATACAGTGGTACAAGAGGAGTAGCGAATAAGGGATGGGGTACCCAAGAGCGTAACAGACAGACGGACATCCCGATTACTATATACCCTCCCACTTTTCAAGCGGGGGTATAATAATTTCTTTTGTAGAAAACTAAGTCGAGAATTTTTGTATAATTATGCGGTTTTTTTTTTCAAAGAGAGTTTAGTTTTAGTGATTCCATGGTTAAAATAAAATTATGTACACTCTTAACATTTTTTTTTCAAGTGCGTTTCCAAAGCCCTGTCATGAGGTAAGAGGAATGTTCATTAAATACTTGTAAAATATGGTTTATCATTATGATAATACACTGTATATATGTAAAAAAAAAATTCGATTCATTTTATTGACAATTATGTCATGTAAATTTTGAATTTACCAGGTGGCAGTGAATCATGAGGCGCCATTTCTATATTTTTTTTTAAATGTATTTTTGATATCAAAAAAGGAATTCTTGATTTCAAAAAATAATTCTCGATATCAAGAATTTGAATTTTTGATATCAGAAATTAATTTTCCGGTATCAAAAAGTCGAATTTTTGATAATCAGAAAATGATTTTTTTTGATATCAGAAAATCTATTTTTTGATATTAGAAATTAGTTAAGATTTTCTGATATCAGAAAATCGAATTTTTTACATCAAATAACCATTTTCTGCTAACAGAAAATCGATTTTTGATAGGCCTCAGAAAATGAATTTTTGATATAGAATGCATTCGATTTTTTTTTTATATCAAATGATCATTTTTTTATATCAGAAAATAAGAGTGAAATAAATAGAACCTTTTTTAATAATGAATGCTCCCTTATTCCCATATCAATAGTTATGTACTCTTAGAATACAGATTCCTCTGCTGTTTACTGTGTTAAGTGTTATCACTCGATCTTCATAGTTGTTTCAGTCTTGTCTAAATCCTTGTGTGTTTTTATTTGCATTTTGTATAGATAAATAAACGCAGAAATATAAATAAATATACGGATTTTTTTTTATTTAATTTATTTACTATGGTGATATATTACAACCAAAAATGTCTGATGAGACTGTTGCTCTACTGGTCTGTACGTATAACAAGGGAAAAGTAGCACTTGGATTTGAAACTTTGCATCAGGCAGCAATAAAACAACAATTTTTAGAATAATAATTGTATTTATGTATTGAATGCGATAACTTAGTTGGAGGTTTCCGGTAGGATTAATTTTGGTAAAATATAAAAAATTCTCAGATCCACGCCTTGGTTGATGGATTACGTGTGATAGAAGGTGTAAGGTCACGTGGTCAGCTCAGCGAGTCATTCAGTTGTATTGTGATAACCCGCCTGATGACCGCGCTCATGATAAATAGTCAGCTAATAGAATGTAGTTTAAATACAGGTCAGTGATTAACTGCTGTTTTGTTTTACTCCTACAAGATGAAGTACCTTAAGGAACATGTTCATTTGCACACTGACAGGTCAGTGAATAACTGCTGTTGGATATTAAAATACACCTTTCTTAACCTAGCTTGCTTGCTGGCTCATACAATACTTTGTGATTGTTATATCATTTATTCTGAAATTATTGTTATTTCATACTTTAATTACTTAGTAATGCCTATATTTCTTAACATTTCTCGGATATTATTTTATAAGATGTTCTTCCTTCATTTTGTATTACATATGACATTTTCGTGTAAACTGTGATTATGGAATAATAATAGGAGGATTTTTCATTGCATTACTTTAAAATAAAATGTATGGAGAGGCCAGTGATTAACTGCTTCCATGAATAATTCATATTGTGTGCAAGCTCACCTTGGATGGCACGGATGTGATCTGCATGTCACATCTAACATGGATGTGACTTGCATGTCACATCTTGTGGCCTATTTTGTTTTTATGTGCCATCTTTTTGCTAACTTTTTCATATGATGTTTTCATTGTCTTGTCTTACAGATACTTTTTTCTAGTCAGTTTTGGGGGATCAGACATTATCATATTTTACGTAACTGCTAATCAAAGCTTGTGAATCTGATCCCCTTCTTGTTTGTTAAATTGTTCACATTTATACCGTCATTTTAATAAATGACATTATTCATCTCTATGAAAGTGTTTTATTTGACTTATACAAAATTAGCAAAAACAAGCTGCGGTGAGCTTGCATATAAGCATAAGAATACATAAAACAACAATTTTTAGAATAATAATTGTATTTATGTATTGAATGCGATAACTTAGTTGGAGGTTTCCGGTAGGATTAATTTTGGTAAAATATAAAAAATTCTCAGATCCACGCCTTGGTTGATGGATTACGTGTGATAGAAGGTGTAAGGTCACGTGGTCAGCTCAGCGAGTCATTCAGTTGTATTGTGATAACCCGCCTGATGACCGCGCTAAAATTAGAGGCACGTCTATTTTGAAGCCCCTCCTCCACCCCTGCATTCCTACCCCTTAAAATAGGTACAGTATTAGTGTGTCATGCAAAATCATATATTTCATTAGTTCTGACTCGATTTGTTTATACTGTTTTTATGTATTTTGTTTCACTATTTTCCTTGGGCTAGGCCTATTTTGTTTTTATGTGCCATCTTTTTGCTAACTTTTTCATATGATGTTTTCATTGTCTTGTCTTACAGATACTTTTTTCTAGTCAGTTTTGGGGGATCAGACATTATCATATTTTACGTAACTGCTAATCAAAGCTTGTGAATCTGATCCCCTTCTTGTTTGTTAAATTGTTCACATTTATACCGTCATTTTAATAAATGACATTATTCATCTCTATGAAAGTGTTTTATTTGACTTATACAAAATTAGCAAAAACAAGCTGCGGTGAGCTTGCATATAAGCATAAGAATACATAAATAGAATTATGTTTCTTTAAATGTAGTCTACTTGTGCCAAGTTATACTGAAATCACACGAAACTGTTGGAGGAGTGGCGATTCGTAAGAAAATGAAGATTTAATAAATTTTAAAACACTTTATGCATTCAGTAAGTTCTTTACATCATTAAATCGCAACTTGTAGCCCTCATTTTATTACATATACAAGTTTGTATTTCCACTAATTCTTTGGAAAATAGTACAATACCCAAACACAGTGTGTTGCCTGCTTCTGTGAATACATTCTTGGGGAGAATTAATTATCTGCATGAGCCTAAACATAAATTTTGGATTTTCTGATATCAAAAAAGTGTTTTGTGATATCAAAATATCGAACTGACTTTCTGAAATCACAAACGATTTTTTGATATTAAAATTCAAATTTTTGATATTTGAATTTTTGATATTACAGAATGATTTTCTGATATCAAAAATTGGAATTTTCTGATATCAAAAATTGGAATTTTTCATGTAAAAGAAATATCGTTTATATTTAATATCAAAAAATATATTTTCTGATATCATGTTTATTTGCATGAAGTTAAATCAAAAGTGATTAATAGCGTTCTGCAATAATAGTAAACAAGTAATGCATCATGCATTATAAGAAATAAATGAAGTAAATTAAAGAAACTAATTCATACCATATATGTTTAAAAATCTTTCAATTTTCTAAAAATTCTTATAGTTTTTATCCTTATTTTTTACAGATCAATTTTCAAATCTAAAAGACAAATATATGTTTCTTTTTTAAAATATCATAAAAAATTGAGATTTGCTCATTTTCTCTACATCATGATTAATTTCAATGATGAAGTTTGAAGAATTATTGTGGACCCGTAAATCCGTAATCACTTTGATAATTCAGAGATATTTTTGTGAGTATTTTCCAATATATATTGGTCTTTATTCAATGACTGATTTTCATGACCTGAAGTGGAAGAAATTAATTTTATTTATTCCCAATCAAAAACTTCTTTTTAAGAACCCCTATCACCCATCGAAAACCAACTGCCTTTTGTAGTGCCTTTGCAAGGAAATTCATTTTCTTAGCAAGTATTATGCGAAACTACCGGATATCTTCAAATTTTCAGAGAGATATTTTTCTTCATTTCAGCCTAGAGAAAAGGAAACTGTCTTGTCCATTTATTTAAAATGAAGATAAAATTCTCATTTCACTATTGTATAATTATTTACATGCAAAAAATTTATTTCATGTGATAAAATCGGATTGGGTACCGAAGTTAAACTTATAATATAGTTGCATTACAATTAAAAAAAATTACAAAATTTATATACTTACTAGTTGTACCCAAGCACGTTTTGCCATATCCAACTAATTGAATAATCAAGATAAAAAAGTTCTTATACATCCTAGATTTTGTTTGGAAATTACATTGCAGCAGTAGACTTAATTCAAAATATTGAGAAATCTTCTGATTGAAAATTGGAATTGATTCAAAGATATGTAATCATATGTTTTCGTCAAGACCATGAAGATAATTAAAACAATGGAGCAGACAAAAGCTTTTTAAATCTTTATTGAAAGTGTGGAAAAAGACAATGGAAAGAAAATTGATATGGCTTAACTTCAAACTAAAGATTAAATCATTGACAAAGTAGATATTTGTACTGTTTTTTTTTAACTGTTCATTCAACCAAAACAAGAAAGGGAAAAACATCATTATTTATATGAGTGGTAACTACCACCCGTAAGGCACAGAATATTTTCAAGTGAAAGAAATCATGACATTTTTCATTTCAAAACTAAATGTTTGGAAAATGTATAAAAAGTTGGATTTGGTGAAGAATGTACGTATCCATATTCCACTCAAACCAGCATCTAAATTGTTTTTAAAAATGAGAAATATTTAAGACCATCTTTAAATAATGTTTGTTTCGCCTTTCCTGACTTTGGAAGAAAATTTGATGGGTAGGTAAATGAGAAAAATTTAGTCGGTTTTCCGGGGGAAATTCTACTCTGTGTAGTAGTTATAGAATGCGATTTCCCCCAAAGCCAATTTCCCCCAAATAAAATATAATTGATATACTTAAGTTTTGAAGAGGAGGGGCGGTACATTGTAACAAGTGCCCCTTCTCAAAAAATGATGACCAGATGTTATTGAACACCCGTATACGAAGAATGAAAATGAAAATTTTAAATCTCATTTTTCTCAGCAACTGTCAAACCAAATGTTTTTCAGATCAAATGAATCGGTGAAACCAGTGGGACCATGAAGGTTTACCTTGCGACTGTCCGTGCGTCCGTCTGTGTAGCTGTACCTCTTTCTGTCCGAAATGGTTTTCCATACTTTTTCCCAAAACGTTTGAAGTTACTGAGATGAATTTTAGTATGGGAGTGTATCTTGATGAGTTAAAGTTCAATTTTGCATTTTATTCCGCTTCAATATTTTTGTTTTTCGGAATATGACATTTTTAATTTTAGGGGGAAATCCTACTCTAGAGCACAATTTCCGAGGGGAAAGCTGACTTTTGGGGAAATCCTACTCTACAACACCGGTACCTTAAGTATACCTTTACTCAGATGACTAAAAATTCCACTGATAAGAACGAAAAACCACCTATTGCACATTATACACCTATGATTCTTGTGTTAAATTTCAGTTTCAAATAACTAGGTCAATGACCTCGTTTTCATCCTAGTGGCCCCTGAGTATTTCTCGGGATATACCTCAATTTTTCACACTATGACCATTTTTTTCTTCACTCACAAAATATTGCAAGCAACAAAACTCTTTAAATAATGAAATATTATAGCAATGGAGCAGAGTTGCTCCATATAAAGAAATGAGTAGAGTTTGGGCTATAAACGTGATAATTATTACAGTCCGAATTTCCTCTGTCATATTTATATTTTTTCCTATTTTTAATCAAATATTACAAAAATCTGACTGATAGGAACTCTTAATTATTTATAGCCTCATGTTACTTTTGTTACCCTAATTCTCATGGTATTAATATTATATGGGGTCAATGATCAAATTATTGAGATATGTTGTCTGGAGTGGTTTTTGTACATATTTTTGAATTTCTTTATTTCATAGCATTCATTTATTTGAAATAATTTATGAGCTTAAACACATATAATATTTGCAAAATGATGTCTTAAAATACATGTAACCTTTACTTTCTGATTAATACCAGGTATGGCAAACTATAAAAATTTTGACGAAAATGATAAATAAAAAATTTAGTCCGAATTTCCTCTGCATAGCCATACATTGAGTTTTGTTCCTGTATATTTTCTTCAAGTACTAACATATTAAATTTTTAAATTGATATTGAGATAAAACTTGGTTATTTTATCTATTTAGAACAATTTTTGATTTAACAAAATTTATTATACTTTATAAAATTTCCTTTCTGTTTTCTGAAACCTGAGTAAACGTCATCCTTAAAGTACTACTGATCTTATTCCTTTTTTTTTATTATACCGTACAAAATTCATTCTCTAAACGCAAGAAAAGCAAGCCAAGAAATCTCGTTCTGTTTACGCAGCGATGAAGTCAATAAAAGTGTAACTGAAGCAAATCAGCCATATTCCCCAAACGCTGGCAAAGCAATTTATGGCAGCAGATTTCAGGGGGGGGGGGGGTACGTGGATCCGAGGTTTTCAGCTTTCTTAGTTAAAGAAAAATAAACTTGATACATTCCACCATTTATTTCTATCATTAAAATGAAAATATTAACATAGCCAATCAGGATATGTCTAGGTATAACACCGGTAATTGTTTTCACTATGAAATTCCATATGGAATAAAAATCGTTAAAAAAAAATCAGGTATTTGTTTACTTGAAAAAAATATTTAGCAGGAGGTGTTAAACATTAATTACCTGTCACACTAGCTGACACACCCTCACACACAAAACGGTACCTACACGGCATTTTCTGACTTTTCCATCTGCAAATTTAACAGGGCTACCCTCAAATCCACGTGTTTTCAATGTGTTTATAAACATTCCGTGTGCACCGCAGGAAGTAGCCTCCTATGCCCGGAAAAAATAGTTCCTGTCAAAATCCTTTATTTGTTCAAAAAGTACATGATAAAATTTATTAGGCACAGTTACCAAAGTTGTAAAAATGTCTTGGAAGAAAAAAGAAAAGCGTCTCAAAAGAAAGGAAAAATCAATTTTTAAATTTCCTTTTCTTTAATTTACTTTTTTTTTTTTACAGAATCTGATTTAGATGAACCCCTCCTACCCCCCCCCCCCCCCCTTCAAAAAAGAGGGGGTGAAAAGGCTTCTAAATAATTAGTTTTGTACCTATGTTTTAAACCCAGTAAAACTTAAGATCCCTCCCTCAAAACTGCTGACATTCATTGCCTCGTGCTCCATATATCTCCTGGGGGAAGAATCACAGATTAACTTTAATTCGGCTTTTATTGAGTTCGCTCTCCGGATAGAATGCGTAGGTTCTCTTGGCATGCACAATCTGCTTGCATATAAAACTACATATAGACGTGATTAACTGGGATCTTAGTTTTGAGAGATTATAAGATCTTACAATTTTTTTCTCAATAATATGGGGGGGAGCAGCTATCGATCCACTCTTTATTCAGGCTCCTGTGGCAGAATCAAATTTGTTCAGATTATGACCCCTTAGGAATGGTAGTGTAGAGCCATAATGGAAGTCAAAGTTTTACATACACGAAGGGATATATAGAGGGAAATCTTTTAAAATATTCTCAAGAACAGCAAAGCCATAATAATGATTGATGTATGAAAGTGTCAATGGATAAAGATTCATCATTATCCCCGAGAGTAGACATATGGCAGAGTGGGGCCACAGTATGTACCGAAGTTAAACAAGGCTATATGACTGATGTAAGAAAGTTTTAGTCACATTGATATGGAAGTATATTAGACAAAGTAACGAGCACTGGAAGTCGTTGTAACTGATATTGAGTACGTAAAAATGCTAAAAAGACACCGTGTAATTCATGGACTGGAGGTTTGGAGTAGAGTTATGGAGTGGAGTTTGTCCAAGTCAAATTTTGGAAGTCTATTTTCTCTCTCTTTTTTTTAAATGAAAAGGCATAAAAAAGATGTTAGAAGTTTTATTGCATACTTGTTGGCCATTTCATGTCTTGTGACTCAATAGTTTGGCAATTCAAACAATGACCATATTGAAATCTGTAAGTTTCTGACTAATATATTGATGAAGGAGTGACAACCTATTTTTTATGGTAATCGCTGTGTCACTTTTAATGCAAAGAAGTAAGGGAGTAAGTGGATCTTTTAACACACCATACTATATAATAATGAAAATAATTGTATAATGTGTAATTTATTTTAATTAAATTGAATTATCTTTTTTTAAATTTTAGATATGGCAGATAATGAATAGCTAGGTGAGTATAGTATTTTAAAAAATTGACCTCCTTATAAATTGCTATAAATTCTTTAACCATATATAGCTTTGACAGGTTTTTTCAATACGCAAGTTTCGAGATTTATCATCACTTCATGATTGCCAGAATGTACTCTACCAATCTGACTAAAATCATATCCTCGATCCGCTCCTTTGTTTTTTTTTTTATTGTCGCTACACGAGGTGTAGCGACAATAAAAAACAGAGGAGCGGATCGAGGATATGATTTTAATCAGATTGGTACTCTACAACTCGAGAAAATATGAATTAATGTAAAGGCATCATTTTTTGCAGCAAAAAATCGTACCAAAAAAGAAAATATCAGTGGATATGAGACTTTTCAGACGAGGGAAGAGATATGGACCTCTAATAAATAATGCATCTGATCATTGCACGTCGGCAATCTAAATGACATACTATATAATTGATTCTTTTTCTTCTTATATCTAAAAACACAATTTTTTTTTAAAAGAAAATGTTTGTACAATTAAGAAATTCGGTTTCTTTTTATAAAGACTACGACGTTTCTTTCGTTTTCAAGTACCCTACAACTGAAAGCAGATTTGAAAATATGCATAGTTGAGCTTGATAAAATCATCAAATGTATCACTACTTAACATCATTATCTTTTTATAACATTTAATAAATCCTAAAAGCCATAAATACCGTTCATTAAATCATGCACGTTTGTATACAGAAACACCTGTCCCATCTCCATGATGAAAAGGATACTTTTTGCGCCTCTGTTGAAGGAGAGACTGTAAGGACAACTACATTCAATGTACATTAATGGTGTTCGACAGGTGCCAAATATTTGAAAGAGCAGTGGTTATTTTGTCAGTACCATGTCTGTCTATTCACTTCTACTGTAAATTTCTCAATTTCCATATTTACATACAATGAAGCGCATTGAAGTGGTAAAATTTTCCGTTTGAATGGAACGTTCTGAGCTATCTTTAGAACGTTGATTGTCAGACAATGACACGCCCATTTCTTTAGAAAGGAAAAATCGGTCAAATGCTTCATTGGAATACCCGTAGAACAGGTATTCCATAAATATAATAGCCAATCAAGTTGACGGTCTACATAAACACAGAGCAAGCACGTGTTCGACCAATACATGTGAACATATGGAAACTCCAATTACCATGATAAATTCATAATTATGTACAAATTCGTTGCAGTACGTGTGTTACAGAAGCTGGAACTTTCTAAATCTCTCTTATAAGTTATAACTTTAAAAATCTCCATTTCGGTGTAAGTCATGTTGCTTGTCGCAAAGAATGGGGTGTCCTAAAACATTACGACGAATATTATCTTGTTCGTTTCTAAAGAAATGGGCGTGTCATTTTGTTATAATTGACGTTCAAAACATGACTCAGAACGTTTCACCCAAACGGAAAATTTTGCCACTTCAATGCGCTTCATTGTACATCACTGTCAGATTTTAACGTACAAATTTTAATTAGGTCGTATTATGAATTGCCAATCTATTTAATTACAATGCATGAAATGGCCAACAAGTATGCAAAAAAAAATCTATGCTAATGAAATTCCTTTAACATATTTTCTTCCTTTCATATACAAAAAAAATTATGAGACTCCAAAATTTGACTCCAAGCTCCACTCCATAACTCCACTCCAAGCCTCCAGTCCATGAATTACACGGTGTCGTTTAAAAATGTTTAGTTTCGATATTTTTACCTGTCTGACCTAATGTTCAGAGTTAATGTAATCAGACTGTTCGTTCATGAATATTTTGAAATACCAAATGAAAGAGAAAAAAAATCATTTTTGTGACAAGAGTATTTTTGGATGATTAAATGAATAGTACAAAAGTACATCGCGTCGAAATAGAGACCTAAAGCGAAGTCCGCTTTAGGTCCATGGTCGAAACAACTGGGTGCCGCTTGGTTCGAGGACCAGTTTACACATGCAAATCACGTGGTTTATCATATGACTGCATCCTATGATAGTTGCTGTAAACTATTGTCCCACCGGTGTCGCACAAGATGAGGTCGATTTTGATTGTCTTCTCCGTTCTTTTGGTTGCAGCATGTGTATCTGCATTTCAGAGGTAAGGTATTTGCTGATGTTTTTCTGATTTGTGCTTTTAAACCCAAACCATTACACAGGTAAACATGGTAAAGCGTCAATGGTGAATGCATTAGTGATTAGTATTATTGTTGGACATTACTTTCATTGCTCCTCACATGCCCAACAGCCCAAGTAAGACCCTTTTCCAGGGTGAAAAACATTATGTTTAGTATAAACAAAAAGCAAGGAAAAGATTGCACAGAGCAATGGTATTTATTGCATACTTATTACTGTGGCCTCTAAGGCTCTATAGTGAAAAACTTGATATGTACAGATTTAAAACTATATCTTTGTAACCCAAATTCATCCACAGCAGTACACAAGTTGGCATTTTCATGAAATGTTTATCCTTTATTTTTCAGAATCAAACTACACAAGTTTGACAAAACAGTTCGTGAGACTTTATTAGAAAAAGGAACAAGGGTAGAAAGTTTGAAGAGGAAATACAGTCGGTTAATCACAGGCCCTGAACCAGAGCCTCTGTCTAATTATATGGATGTAAGTCCTTATCATTAAAACAAAGTTACGTTTGATGGTAATCATGGTATTGCTGTATTTAAGACATGGCTTGAAATTACTTACTTTTATTTTGGTACAAAATATTGATTGGAATCATGCTATAGTGCTAATGATATACAATTTACACATACACCATCATATTATATTTTACGAAATTTCAGTTGATATTTATGACATTATTTATATTTGTTGCAACCAACATGTTCAGTCAAATAAAATCAGCACTGGATTTCCAGAGCATCAATATGTGGGTGTGTATTACATGTAGTATTAGTTTGTGTCTCAAAGCTCAATTAAAGCTTAGTCCTCCTTGTCATCTTGTTGTTTAAGGACTTAAGGACTTAAAGATAAGTAAATTGTGTATATATTTGCTGTATTTTGCATACCACCACTAGACTTGGGTTGATCTTGGCCTTGAAGTTGGGGGGGAGGGCTATCATTGTTTAGAATGACCTGTTTAGTGTTAGCTAATTTACTTATTTATGAATAGGTAATGTTATAAAGATTGTTAAGAAATAGGTTTAATGTAGGTTTATGAATAGGTAATGTTATAAAGATTGTTTAGAAATAGGTTTAATGTAGGTTTTTGAAGTAATACCTGCTAATATGTATGTACTGATTAGAAGATTCTGCTTTATTCAAACTGATATCTGTGCTGAAAGTAGTGATGATATAGATCGATGCTTATTTAAGTGAAAATACTGGAAGTTGGTATGTATACTAACATAAATGTTGACCAGTACTTGGATCAAAACTATACCATATGACTTTGTTTACAGGCTCAGTACTATGGTGTGATTGGAATTGGCTCACCTCCCCAGCAGTTTAAGGTCATCTTTGACACTGGTTCATCAAATCTCTGGGTTCCATCAAAGAAATGCAAACTGTCTGACATTGCTTGCTGTAAGTTTAGACACACTGGATTATTTCTTTATGAAGGACAACAAAGTGTAGTTATGGTTAAGAAAAAGTTAAAATAAAAATTAAATAAAATATATTGTTACTGTATCATGACACCACCACCACCCTTCCCAAAGGAAACTTTTTAATATTTCTGATCCTTTATTGTATTCATACAGATAAGTAAAAGCATCGCAAATGTAACAATTAATTTTTCAAGTATTGTTTAAAGTTACATAGAAAACATACATTCAATATATTAACAGATATTCAATAAATCATTTCAGTGCTGCACAATAAATATGACAGCACTAAGTCCTCAACTTATAAAGCTAACGGAACAGATTTTGAGATTCGCTACGGAACAGGAAGTCTGAAGGGTTTCTTAAGCACCGACACTGTAACGGTAAGGTCATACATTGTAACATACATTCAAATTATTTTGCTTTCCAAATTTAATTCAATCTTGTGTATCAACTGGGTAGTGTCAATTATCATAAGTAAGTTGGCGAAACTTCTACATGTTCTGACTTTTCAAAGTGTAACATACTGTAAACACACTCAAATTATTGCATATTCCAAATTTATTTCAATCATGCATTTCAACAGTGAACTGGTTAGTGTTAATTATCATATAATGATGAAAAAGTTAGGGAAACTTCTACATGTTCTGACTTTTCAAAGTGTAACATATATTGTAAACGCACTCAAATTCTATCACATTCCATATTTAGTTCAATCGTATGTTTCTACTGGTAAGTGTTAATTATCATATGTAAGTTAGTGAAACTTCTTCATGTTTTAATTTATCATATTTGTTTTAATCATATATTTATTGCAGCAAAAGCATTCACTTAAAATATTTAATACACAGAATTTTATTTAATGATGGCGATTATATTTTTATAAGGACTTGCATACATTTTCAGTGATGGACCTACCCTCCTTAAAAAATTGTCGGTTTGAGTATAAGTCAAGTCAAACAAAAAAAAAGCTGAACGATGAATGACCTCAGATGGTTTTAGTGAATGTGCACACTGCTTTACAGGAAATTATATACAGAGATCACTTGTGTTATACCCTGTCAAGAAGTGGTACTTGTACATATAATCTCATTCAAGTAACTGTTTGGCACTCTTAGTTCACATTGTAGGTGGTTAATGACTTCATATAAAATGTATCATTATAATAAGGACATTTTATAGATGACTTTCATCAGATGTAGACAAATGACATTGTGCACGTAGAGTCGTAGATTGCTATTTCATTGATTATGTGTAATTTATACATCAGTAAGTAATATGGTCCATAAACTTTGAATTTAACCTATTTATATTTATCAGCATAAGTACTTCACTAGTGACCCTGAATCTTAACTGAGTCTTACAGTAAATTAAGGTTTGAGAGATAATTTTTGACTATAGATATATAATAGTATGTCACAATAGACTTAAAGTCCTTTGTTATCTCTCAAGATGTTTGAACAAGTTCACAGTCCGCATCCACTATCTGCTTAACTTGCATCATGCGTAACTATAAAAAGATGTCATAAACCAAGTGAACAGGCAATTTTTTTTTTAAAAACAAACATATAAACTTTATTATATGCTGGTGATGTTCTACAGGCATCTACAATTAAAATCTCATTATGATTATATGTTTAATTGGAAATTGTATGATATGTATTACTTTTTGTGAAAGGTCATTTCTTGCAACAGGATTTATAATGGTATTAAAACAAAAAAAATCTGGTTTAATGCAACACACCAATATCTTATAGATCGGAGACATCAAGGTACAGCACCAGACATTTGCTGAGGCTACAGAGCAGCCAGGAATCACATTTGTGGCCGCTAAGTTTGATGGAATCCTGGGTATGGGCTACCCCCAAATCTCAGTAGATCGTGTGTTACCAGTCTTCAATAACATGGTCAATCAGAAACTGGTTCCAGCACCCATCTTTTCTTTCTACCTAGACAGGTGTGTATTACCATCATTTAATATATAATTCATCTTCTTTCTTGTTTGAATTTCTTAGACATCCATCTCACCTCTGGCTTGTGCACCAGGTATCAAACCCTGACTACTTTTTAGGCACAGTGCATGCAAAGCACAACACTTTTATCATGTTTAAATAAATGGTAAAATTTGCAGAAATCCTAGTGGTAAAGAAGGTGGTGAGCTTATTTTGGGAGGCAGTGATCCTAAATTCTACTCCGGTAACTTCACCTATGTTAATGTGACCCGACAAGGTTATTGGCAGTTCAAAATGGACGGGTAAGTTCTTCTAAACAAAAAACAAAATGTGTACTCCTACACAAAAAACGAAATGTATTTAGAACATTTAATCATGATATTATACACAGATAACATTTTTTTCAAGAATTTAAAAACAAAGTCTTAAATCATCTTCTGTACCTTGTTTGTGTGAACTCAAAAGAATATTTAGTCCTGACAGAAATACAGTTTTGTAACAACTTGTCTCATCAAAGTGATGTGCTTACCATTTTATGCAGTCTATACTTGAAGTGGTCATGACATTATCATACACTTTACCTGTATACTCATGTTCTATATATTTAAAATCTAATTATGGTAGACTAAATTTTAAGTAAAGAGTCAAGTTTTGCACACAATTCAGATTATATTTTTTCTGGAGATAGTCCTCTCTCATTATTAGAGTTAAGCTGAATGGTAAAACCACTAAATACTGCTCGGGAGGCTGTAAAGCTATAGCTGATACCGGAACCTCTCTATTGGCTGGCCCATCATCAGAAGTCAAGTCACTCAATGAAGCCATAGGAGCAAAACCATTCGCAGCTGGAGAGGTAGGCCCCCTGATTGTTGGAGTTGTTCCACTCCATTTTCAGAAGAGGGGGGAAATTAAATTTCGTTTGTATGTCTGTCTATCAGTCTAAGTAGCTCTCAGTCATCACAAAAACATTTACAGGCTGTAACTCGGTACACTCTTTTTCTTAACAACTATCATGGGATTCATAATCTGTTACCTTAAAGGTAGACTCTCAGGAAAAAAAGGCAACTGTACATGTTTTATATTACAGATGTTTGCATCTTTTGTGAGAGCTTTGCAAAACTTAAGTTTTTTAAAAACCTTCATGATGATTGATGCACACTTGAAATCTTCAATTATGATTTTCTGATAAGTGATATGTACTGTTGTTAGGTGAAAATAAATTTATAATTTTTTACAGTACACAGTAGATTGTTCAAAGATTCCAAGTTTACCTCCACTTAGCTTTACCTTAAATGGAAAAGATTTCACTCTACAAGGCAAAGACTACATATTGACAGTAAGTATAGAATAGAAACAATTGGAAGCTGTTAGATTGTATTTATCTTATCATTAATAAGTACTTTCCACATGTATAAGAATTTTATGAAATTATCATTCAAAGTGAAATATATATTCTACCACTCATATCTTCCTTTACACTGTGCCTGCGCTACAACACAGAAAATCCCAATGCATATATTCACTTTCACGTTGTCTGTTAATAAACACAGTACATGCTAGAGTAGAATAAAAATAAGTTCCACCCCGTTTTAATTTTTAGGCTATGTTAAATGCATGTATAAGTCCCATGAGAAATTCTAGACCTTTTATTGCTTTATAGAGTTAAATTTTTTTATGAGGAAAATACAAGTTGTTGAACTTCAGCTTTTTTTTTTTTCAAAATATTGCTCATCAGGTATGCCTTAGCTTTTAATTCAATATTATTTTTTTTAATAATAAATGAAAAATATTCAAGTTGTTGAACTTTTTTCTAAACAAAATAATATGTTTAAAGGGTATATATTGATACTGTTTAGATGTCACTTCCTACAGTTTTTAGTGTAAAAAGTTTTATTATTTTTGTGAGAATTACCAGAACTGCATCACAAAAGATAGGATGGTTTGATATCCACGTGGCAGTTTTCTCCTTGTTTTAGATTCTGCAGTCACCTGATTTTTGCCTTTTTTAAGAGTCTATATCTCAAGAGAAGACAACCAGGTCAAACGATACAAGGGTTGTATTTTGACAATCATCTAGGCCTTGAATATATCCATTAAATTAAAACTTTGATCCATTTTTGAACAATAACATTTATTTTATTCTCATTTATCAGAATAAAATTGACTAGACAGTGATCATTGATGTAAAATGGAAATCTCTCTAGATACAGAATTCAAAGTACATGTTTGTGTACATGTATATGAGAAGCTTATAATTAGATTGAATGAATGTATTGTATAACTATGTAGATTAAAAACGTTTTTTTTATACCCATGAAAGATATTCTGTAATTCCTGATTTTTGAGGCACAATTGTTTTTTCTCAGTGTTGCTAAATAGATTTTTTTTTCATTCATTTTTCCATGAGTAACATTTTTTTTATTTAAACTTTCACACATATTACCGGGTACAAGCATATGTACAAACTTCTGTATGAATATATGTACGTACAAAATCAGTAAAGACTAATTATAGTTGAAACTTATTCAAAATCAGTGCAAAAGTTTATTAGGAAAGAAGATGTCAGATGTGTAAGATATTTTGATACTGACAATTTCCTTATATAGCATTGTTGAGGAAACAAAATGATTTTGTACATTTGAATGCAATGTACAATATAAATTCTTTTGTTGAAGAATGACATATACGTCATTTTGATTAATAAGTGCACCATTAGTAATTGTGCACTGTTTAAATAATTACAGGTGACTGAGATGGGTCAAACAATATGCTTGAGTGGTTTTATAGGTCTGGACGTACCTGCTCCAGCTGGACCTCTGTGGATCTTAGGAGATGTTTTCATTGGCGCCTTCTACACAGAATTTGATATGGGCAAGAACCGCGTCGGATTTGCCAAAACTGTTAACTAAATATAATGGTTTTGATCTAGAATGTCGCAGTTCAGAACCACATTTTGATATTACAGTTCTAAGAGTTGGTGTGTGTTCACTTTAAATAGATTAGAGGGTAGAAGTTATGGAATGTTTTGTGAAGTACATACAGGATGATTTGTTTAAAAGCAGTTTGTCAGATACATTCCTCTTAGATCTCACACAATTACAGATTTGGAAAAAGGACAGATATTTCCATATCAAAATCTATATGGATACACAATACACATACACACTGTAGATTCTTTAGAATGGTAGACATCAAATCTCGAGAATATGAATTCCCAGTTGCTCTTTTGAATAAGATCCTTAACCTGTATTTCAGTAATAAAAGTAAAATTGAATTTTAAAGGGATTATTTCTTGTGAATACATATCACAATTTTGCTTGAATTTAGGAATCTACATTAAGTTTACTCTATCCCTTAACAATATATAGACCATTTGTTAGTATTGTTCTTAGCAGAAGAGCAGCTTGAGAAGCATATTTGGAATGTCTATGCAGATGAAAGTGCTTTATTTTAACTAATATTAGTTATCGTACATTCTTACTAACAATTCTTTATTTCTGCTTCACCTATTTAAGCTTTCAGGTGTGGTTTGGTGATTATGTAATCTTGTGTTAGATTTTCTGCATGGAGTGGTCAATGATTTTCTAACTTAGTAGCGACTCCTGTTGTTTAGCTCTCTGACACCAAACCAGAATCGGAATTAATATACTGATGAAATTCCGCTCTATCGAAGCTGCAGAATTCTTGTAGAAAAGCATTTCATCATTTTTCAATCTCTTAAATTTATTAAAAGAAATTTTAATTACTAATAATACTCAAAGACTTTTGCAAAATTGAAGAAAATTTAAATTTTCTTAGGAGAAGCAAGAGAACACTTGGAGCATAATTGGAGTGGGCTACAGAAAAAAAGCTTAGCATTTGACATCACTATTTAATTAGTTGTATTAAAGATATATTTGACTTGATACTTAACTAATGCATGTTTTATTTAATTTAAAAAAAGACTGAGTTGATATATCAAATGCTTAATTTACAGCTTTTTTAAAAATAATTTTTTTCTCAGTATAGAAAGCAAAAACTGTATGCTTGGTTTTCTCGTATTGGAGCCTGCATGTAAATAAAAAAGTTCTCAATGGCGAGTGGTGCTTGTTTGGGAAGAAACAGTGCCATAATTTTGATTTATCAAAAATGCTTAAAATCACATGCATGACAAAATAGTAGAAATACTAGTTTAATAAGTTATTCATGTGTATTTTGTACGTACATGTAGTTTGTTTGCTTCACGTCTATATAATATCGCCTGGCAGAGCCTCGCTGTTTGCTACCCTATATGTAAACGATTCTTATGGACTAGAAGTTGTAATATGTTTGTCTGCATATTTTCATTTTGCATGACAAGTTTTGCACGCTTTTCATGTATTTTGCAATGTGTGCAAATCACCACCACTAAACGTTGCACTAATATCTCCCATTCTCTTTAACTTCTTCAAATCCATTAACCAGGTTTCACAACAAGGGCAGACTATTTGCCTGAGCGGTTTCACGGGTCTTGATGTACCTGCCCCTGCGGGCCCCTTATGGATTTTGGGGGACGTTTTTATTGGTCGATTTTACACCGAGTTCGATCTTTCAAACAACCGAGTGGGATTCACCAATGTTGTCAATCCATCAGACGCATAATAGTCGTCAATTGTATATTACAAATACTTCGTGTGTGAATTCAGAATGTAAATTTCATTATCATATCTGTCAGCTTTATCATATAATAAAGTTATTTATTTTCTGATTATTTTTTTATTGAGTCTTTATGTCTGCAAACTAGAGTTGCGCTCAAGAAAAAAAAAACTTGTGTTACTGTTGGAGAGTTTAAAGTTATGAACCCTATTCGTAACACAAATGTTTGACTGTCTGCCATATTCGATTGGTATTTCACTATATTTGAGGGCCCCTATCATAGGTCATTTACATGTTTATTGTTCAGTGTACATTCAGTCGTCACCGGTGTAGACGGACGTATATTATACAGCACTCGGTAGCGACAAAAATAATTACTTCTTCTAATGGAGGAGAGTAAGATACCAAAGAAACTTGCAACAGTTGCATGGGTCAATGCAATGTACAAACAAACACATATATAGGTAACTACAATAAAATGTATTTACAAAGGTTATGCAAAACATTTTCAGAACCTGCAGATCGGACTTTCTTAGGGCTTCAACTGCAAATTAATGTATACTGATATGAAATATAATCCTGCCGGGGATACAAGTACCGATTTCATGTATTCAAATAATAAAGAAGATAAAGGTTCCAAAAGTTTGGGTCCATTCTTTCAATTTGTATTAGAATTGCACAAACTTTTATTTTATTTTTTTTTCGAGTATTACCTGAGACGATAAGTAAAACAAGAAGGAAAGAGATGTGTACATTAATGTAGACTCTGTTAAAAGTGGAGAAAATGTGGGAGGATATTGAAACCTTTTAAAAATGGTTAGTTTGCCGAATGCATACCATTAATCCAGTTCACTAATATTGATTTCTTGTTCGTGCATTTGAATTTACGAAGCACATAACAACATGGTAGTGTACTATTTTTCAATAAATTAGGCTGTCTTTTTACTTTAGTATAATCTATAAATCCTCGTCAACTATAACCCAATCTGTCGGTTTGTCCCCTATACATACTGAATGCATTGTACGGAATCTTACATTTATTCGATCAAGACACCGTAGGCATGATCAGTGTGCAGAGATGCTTACCCCTTCGTGGTACCTGATCCCATCTATGATTTCTATCTCAAGAGTTTGCATGATTTAATGTTAACTGGCTTCCTGATCTTGATTATGTTTTTATAATCCCTTGCCACTTCCCGCATTTCAAGTGATGTTACAATGTATTTTAGAACGCCTACTCTTGTATTGATTTGCGGAAATTTTGACAATCAATCAATTGACTGTAACAATATTGACAAGGGTGTCAGGGATATGAAAGTTTGTTGATTATTTTAAAAGCACTTGTCAGGAAAATGAAGTACTGAGTAGTTACATGTATTCACGCACTAACACGATGTAATAGAACTAACACGATATAATATAGAAGAAGGAAAACGAAAAGTAACTAAGCTAAAAACTCCATGGGAACAACACGAAATTGGAGCCGAGCAAACATGGACCTCTAAAACTTCAGATATTGGGTCAGGTACCATGGAGGAGAAATCGTCCCCTGTCGACCGGTCACACCCACCATGTACTCCTTGTCACGATCGGACAAACCTATAAAATCCATAGAAATTTGAAATAATGACTTTTCAATTTTGGTGAAAAACGGCAATCAACATATTACGAATACATTAACGAACGATTTCATTGCGTGGAAAGTCATTGTATCGACCATAGAACTCGAGAAATACTAAATTTAAACAGGGCTTCTATCATCAATTTATAAAATTAATGTAAATACGTTGCATCGTTTTGAAAATTGCTTGCACTAGAGCATGATCTTGCGTAATCGAATCAAGTTGGAGACATACATGTATACTTGATATAGTACAGTGTATATATAGCTACATTGATAAGGGAAGTTGATGATAGAAAAGTTTATTAATAATGTATATCATGTTGTATTTTTTTTCAACGAAAAATATCCAAATGTAAAACAAACGTGTCACCGTGTGGTGTCTTTATTCAAAGAGATATATCAATTCAACTTTAAAATGAAAAATAAAATATTGAAAAAAATGTATGTCGTCAATATAAGCGTAAAATTGAAGGCCACGGGAAGAGGCTTTTTCTTTTCACATACCCAAGTATATGTTTTAAATAAATTCTAGGAAGGTGTTTGATCTCCAAACACTGTATATATTTTGTCAATTAGTACTCAAAAATATTTTTTTTATCGACTTCAGTATACTTGTAACATTTCCTGTACAACCACAATGTTTTCAACATTTTTTCCAAATGGCCATGACAATGTAAATTTTATTGAAAAAGAAGCTGTGTGCGATTTCAGAAGGTCGTGGAAGGTTAAACATTTTTGGCATTAAGCTTTCAGTATGTTTCCGAGCATTATGTAATGTCTTTAAAAATTCTTCTTTTTTTTCTATTTTATCGTGCTGGGCCAATTGGCAGTTACTGTATGCCTGTGATGTATCGTTAAACATCATAATGTTGTGATGTGGTAATGATTCATTGCTAATCATGCGATGAAAGTGTCATTACAAATCAATAAAACAGCGCAAAGCACTTTATATGTTTTAGAAAATCATACAATGAATTATTAAAACTTAGTTTATAACTCATCTTTTTTGGTTTTTGTATATGGACAGCTGCGACAACGTCTGAAAAATGATTTTGCACATTTGCTTCAACTCTGTGTGTTTTTGATTTATCTTTTTCACGTTAAAGGAGTGAATGGACAATTTTGGGTCTTCCAGTATATCGAACAAGTTAACGTACTTTTCTATCTAGCATTGTATTTTAATAATTTATATTTAATTAAAGTAACATATTCTGAAACAAATTTAGTGAATTACATTGCACAAGTCTTAAGTTTCCATTATCTTTTGAAATTAGTTTCTTATTACTTGAAACACACTTAAACATGATGTTAGTTATTAATTAAAGGAAAGATATTAAATTTCCTATGTAATTATTAAAACAATATTGCGTACAAGAGCTTTGATCAACTGTGAAAATCTAATATAATTTTCTTTCATACAAATTCCCATTTAAAAGATCCTAGTATATGATTTATCGAGGACTTATATAAATCCAATAATGAACCAGTTGCGACATATTTTAAAAGCGTCTTTATCGATGATGCTTTGGAGCTATACGAACAGCTGAATCAAAAATGATTTTCGTCTGGCTTGGAATATTTTTGTATTTGAGAACTGCCTTTGCAGAACGACAGAATATTACGATAGGAGTTATTGTAGCTGACGGAGATAAGCTGCCCTTTGCCATTTATCGCACGGGACCAGCTATTGAGATGGGGATGGAAAAACTGCAGGAAATTTTGGAGGAGGAAGCAAATATCACCTTCATTCTCAGAGTGCCCCAGGCCCAGTGTGTGGCAGACAAGGTCGGCGCGATAGCGGCGGAAATGTACTATGTAGGGAATGTGTCGGCTTTTATTGGACCTGGTAAGTGACCAATTCCTGTCATCCAACAAAAAAAAGTTATCAAATGTTAGAAGTTTTGTGGAATACTCAAAGCAAAATGTATTTGAATTTTTTTTAGACGTATGTGGATGTTATTTATCGAGATCCGTTGAAGCATTTTTTGTCTTGTTTTATCTGCAACGAATATTTTAGAAATTATCTTTAAAGAGTGACTTTACTGTTCTATTTTAACAACAAATGTTATCTGTACTTTAAGGGTACTTAACACAAACAAAAAATGGATGCACGGATTGATATACATTTTTTGGCTGATTTTGATTTGAAATGACAGAAATAACAAATCCCTGAAATATAAAGAAATCGTAGGTTTTCTGTTTTCGTTCTTGCTTAAATTGAGACATTTTAATGCTTCCTATATAATTCCATACAAAATTTTGCTCAAATTTTTAACCTTATGAAAAAAGCTTTAAATATTTTTAAACTATACTTGGCAAACATTATTCAGGTTACCAATTCAAATGTAAATCTATGAGAAATATTGCTGATTTCTGTTATTTATCCTTAAGGCTGTAGCGCTGCAGTGGATGTGGTCGGGAGAATGGCCAGTTACTGGAATTATCCCATTCTAACTCCAGTCGGTACCAACGAAGATCTCGGCGACAAAGGAGATTTTAAGACTCTCACGAGGCTTGCCTACAACTATGTACAGTTAGGACGATTTTATAGATACGTTTTCAAAGAGTTTAATTGGACCGACATTACTGTTATGTATGATTTGATGGGCAAACGCACTCTACCGAGTAGGGTCCTGAACAGAATTGTTGGCGAAAACTTACAAGTGGAATTTGAAAAAGCGGGGCTAAGATCGACACTCCTGAAGTTTGTATCTGATTCGGAACAAGATTACCAAGAACTTTTGACCACTGCAAGCACAACATCAAGAGGTTAGATTTGGGCTGATAGAATCGTAGTTAGCAACTCTTGATAGAGTAGGTAATTTTGAAGGCTCATATAAAGTAGTTAATTGTCAGTCAATAGTTCTGAAAAAGATATGAATGGTTTTTGTTTAGTTTTGAAAATTTACCTGAAATCTTATGTTGGGATGAGAGTTAAAAGGTTGTATTCTGCTATGCATGACGGTACATTCCCATGTACCTTTAACAAGCTACATAGTACTCCTTTGTACGTGTACGTATCACATCAAAAAACTTTTCCCATGTTGCGTTGATACTGCTCTTATCATAAAGCATATACATGTATGACATTCTATTCTTTTTTTATTGAAAAAAAAAAACCAAAAATGTAACAAAAAGAGACTTTGGGAAAAAAGTGCCTTATAATTTACTCACAAACATAATTCTCGTCACACTTTCTTATTGCCCTGTTCACACGACAAGTTTAATTCGCAGTAATTTAATGCGAAGTAAACTAATGCGAATCAAACTAATGCGAATTAATGCCCTGTTCACACGGAGAGTTAGCTTCGAATTAAACTAAGTTTACTGCGAATTAGCTGGCATACAATGCGAATAAGTTTAATTAAAGTTGCGCATTAAATTAGCATTAGCTGTGTGAACGCTAAGCGAAGCTAATTCGAATTAAATTTGGCCACGTAATAGCAAAATTTAGTCAAATGCCACTTTCGGTGGTCAGCTATAGGTACTTGTGCTATTTTTGAGTGAAAAACTAAGGAAAATTTTGTTATAATCATCAAAATGTGCATACAGACACTTTGCCATTATGTCAAAGGGATCTGCTTTTGCATAAGGTGACGTGATCTGCAAATGACGTCATAATAGCCGTGCTGACGCCGGGCTGCAGAAGTAAAATTTTAATTCGCATTAGTTTACTTCGAATTAGCTGTCGTGTGAACGCAATTTAATTCGCATTATTTTAATTCGCATTAGTTTACTTCGCATTAATTTACTGCGAATTAAACTCTCCGTGTGAACAGGGCATAAATTGCGTTCACACGACAGCTAATGCGAAGTAAACTAATGCGAATTAAAATTTTACTTCGACAGTCAGGCGTGAGGAAGGCTATTATGACGTCATTTGCAAATCACGTCACCTTATGCAGAAGCAGATGCATTTGACATAATGTCACAGCGTCTGGGGACATATTTTAGTGATTAACACATTTTTTCTTAGTTTTTCACTCAAAAATAGCACAAGTACTTAAAGCTGACCACCGACATGACGCATTTGACTTAATTTTGCCATTACGCATGCCCCAAAATTTAATTCGAATTAGTAATAGCGTTCACACGGAGCTAATGCGAAGTAATTTAATGCGCAGTAAACTAATGCGAAGTAAACTAATTCGCATTAAATTCTCCGTGTGAACGCCATGCGAAGCTAATTCGCAGTAAACCAACGTTTAATTCGAATTAAACTCTCCGTGTGAACAGGGCATTAATCTGAAATGAAATGTTTGCTAACACGATTAATAATAGATAGATATGTAAAGTTAGCTACTAGTAACTGGCTACCATTAGCTGGCTACAACAAGTGGGTAAAGTTGGCTACAAGTAACTGGTTACGCGAAGTAAGTAAAGTTGGCCACTAGTAAAATTTGGCTACTAGTAGCTGGCTACGACAAGTGGGTAAAGTTGGCTATTAGTAACTGGCTATATACTAGAAAATAACTTGAACCTTCTAGTACCTTTTGTGTAAAATTATGCAATTTATGGACACAAATGTTGATATTATTGAAGTAGCTGGATTTTTACATCGCTGTTATCTACTGATATTGCTGATAAAACTATCTCTTAGCTTTTGCACATGATCTGGCACTGATGATACTAAGATATCGAAAGTAATAAACTCAGCTACTAGTACCTTATGTGTAAAATTGTGGAATTTGGGGTACAAATGTTGATATTATTGAAGCAGCCGGATTTTTACTTAGCTGATATCTTGGTACCTTTATGTCCTGTTCACACGGAGAGTTTAATTCGCAGTAAATTAATGCGAAGTAAACTAATGCGAATCAAACTAATGCAAATTAAATTGCGTTCACACGACAGCTAATGCGAAGTAAACTAATGCGAATTAAAATTTTACTTCTGCAGCCCGGCATCAGCACGGCTATTATGACGTCATTTGCAAATCACGTCCTTATGCAGAAGCAGATCCATTTTACATAATGGAAAAGTGTCTGTATACACATTTTAATGATTAACAAAATTTTCCTTAGTTTTTCACTCAAAAATAGCATAAGTACCTATAGCTGACCACCGACAAGTGGAATTTGACTAAATTTTGCCATTACGTGTGAACAGGGCATTAGTGCCAGTGGAAAAGCTGAGAGATTGTTTTATCAGCAATATCAGTGGATAACAGCGATGTAAAAATCCAGCTACTGCAAGAATGTCAACATTTGTATCCATAAATTGCATAATTTTACACAAAAGGTACTAGAAGGTTCGAGACATTTAATAGTAGCCAGTTACTAGTAGCCAACTTTACTTACTTCTCGTAGCCAGCTACTAGTAGCCAACTTAACCCACTTGTCGTAGCCAGCTACTAGTAGCCAACTTAACCCACTTGTCGTAGCCAGCAGCTAGTAGCCAACTTAACCCACTTGTCGTAGCCAGCTGCTAGTAGCCAGTTATTAGTAGCCAGCTTACATATCTATAATAAATAATGTTTCAAAACTTTAACAAACCTAACTGTTCCTCTAATTAAGTATTCATTTTATAAACACGCCTGTGTGTGGATGGACACACTATCCTGCTTCTAGTAACATTTTCCTGGCATGTTATAACTCATTGAATATCAATAATTCAACGTTTGGTGTATTCTCTTGCGCTATTCTGGTTTTACGGAAATACGATATAAATTAAATATTAATTGCAAGTTATATTTATTGAAATATAAGGTCATAAAAAATTTAATGTTCTAGGCGAAATAATTTCTAAACCAATTTAAAGATATTTGATCTTTTAAAACTGTAACTCTAGATTGATTACGCTGTTCTCGAAAGCTACATCAATCAAGAGGGTTTCGCATCAATTTGAAAATGATTTCATTGTGAATCATTTAATTGATCAAAACTCCGAAGTAATCGAGGAAACATTTTCTTCGATACCAAAACTAACATGTTGTGTGATTTGTATTTCTTTCAGTGTTTGTGATAGCATGTGACAGTGTCGCCCTCCGAGAACTGATGGTAGTGGCTCACTCCCGAGGGATGACGAACGGCGAGTACGCTTTTGTGTTTTATGAGGCATTTCGAGGAGATGGCAATGGGGATATTTCCTGGAGCCAATCGGACGAAAATGATGGAGTAAAGTGAATTTCCTTCTCATTTTTTAAAATATTTGAATGCTTGAAGTACATATCCATGCACAATATTTGATATAAAGCTGTTTTATGTTTTGCAAAGAATTGAGGTTATCAATTCAAACTATCCTAATTCAACACTTTATTTCTTGCCCAAAGTCAATGGATATAAAAAGAAATAAAAAAAAATATGCAAACATAATAATGCAGAATCTTCTTATTCAGAATATTCTTTTTATTTCTTAAACTATCTTAATGATTAACTGTTTCCTTAAATGAAAATGAATGTTGTTCTTTCAATGTAGATTGTGAAGAAAGCATACGAATCGTTGTTTGTTGTCAGTCTGTTTAAACCAGCAAGTAATGAGTTCAGAACTTTTGAATCAAAGGTGAAAAACAGATCCATGGAGCTTTACAATTTTAGCTTTGATGACCGAGGTTATGAGGTGAGTACAACAACATTATATTAAGCATTAAGTTGTTGAAAATACGCCTGAATAAGCCGTATTCCTGCCTGTTTGAATACAAATTACCTGAAAGAAATTCAACTTTAATAATAACAAACAATTATCATGCCGATTAAACATTTAAATTGTGAAATGGGGAAACATGGGCTAAAAACTGAAGAAGTGGAAGCAGGTGCGTGGATGATTACTTATATATGTATGTATGCATCCCCAGTCCGCTGTGAGCCCTATGTCTTGATCTGGTAAACCAAGTTATCCGTAGGAAATGAATTTAAACATTAAAAAATAGAGGTACTGTAATCACTGAGCTCACTAAATGCAATGATACTTTCTGCCTCTCATATGATTAAAATGGCAAATTACATGTTTTGCTCTGGGAGACCAAAGTGTCAGATCAAATGGTAAAATAATGCACAAATGGCATTATGCAATACCCTTCAATATTAATTCAACTTGAGGTACTGTGAGCAATGAGCTCACTAAATGATACCCCGTCTCCCATATAAATATAATGTCAGTTTCCATGATTTGCTATGTGAAACCCTTAATATGTGTTGGATTAAAAAATGAAATAGGAGGTCACAATAGCAATATCTAATAAAGTATGAAAGTCTTGTCAAATTTCATTCAATGGTATAAGAGGATTTGCGGATAAGAGATGGGTACCCCAAATCGAAATTGAAGGACGGACGGACATGCCGATAACTATATATACCCTCCCGTTTGAAAAGCGGGAGGTATAAAACTGGCAGTGTCATTGAATTGCAATAGGAAACCCAAAATATGTTTTTAATCCACAAATAAAATAGGATGGAGTTGTTCACAATGACATTTTGTAACAAAGAATCAATGAAATATCATTAATTTTGATTAATAGCATACATGTAAGAAGAGTTGCAGTTAAGAGATGGGTACCACAAAGCGTAACAAACGGACGTACGGACGTACAGCTAGACGGACGGGCATCCCGATCACTTTATACATGTACTCCTCTCACTTTCCAAGCGGCTATATAATTAGAGGTACTGTGAGCACTGAGCTCACTTAATGATACTCCCACCTCCATTATAACGATGACAATGGCCAAGTTCATGTTTTGCCCTGGGAAACCCGAAATAAGTGAAAAAGTAAAATCGAGGGTGCAAAATGGCAATATGCAATACAGAATATATGAGAGTATCATAAAAATTTATCAATGTTATATGAGGAGCTCAGAATAATAATTATATAGGTACACTTTAATATTACAGAAAGAATGTGTCCATGAGTTGCTATAGTATGGGAAATCAAAAAAAAAAAATATGTGTCGGATCAAAAAGAAAATTATGAGGTGCACAGTGGCATAATGTATCAAAGATTCTGTGAAAGTATCATCAGATTTTGTTCAGTAGTGAAAGAGTTGCGGATAAGAGATTGGTATCCCAAAGCGTAACAGAGGGACGGACATATCCTTCCACTTTTTCAAGCAGGAGTATGATAAAATTTCCTTAAGTTGTATTAGTTGTATTAGTTTACAAATCAAGTAATTGTACTAATCTACGTGTCCGACTCTGTGGTATCAATTATTTCGAATTCAGTGGAATATAAAATCGAATCAAGGCATTTAGAGAAATGGATATTGTTAATAAAAGATATTACTCGATATCGGTAAATATTAAAGCTTCGTTTCTATCAAAAATCTTGAATCTTCTTCATGAGAATATAAAACAAGTCTGCGTATACAGGGCACTTTTAGTATCCATGGAAATTCTAACAGGATTATTGGACCTAGTCTCCAAGGACTACATAGAATTATCAATGAGGAAGTCCAGTATCTTTTTAGATTACTTAAGTTAGGAAACAAAATTATTTCTAACAAAGTAATTTTTAGATGACTGATGACAAGAAATTTAAAATTTGGAGTTCCCTTTTTGAGGACACAGTGGTCTATGATTTGAAAACCGGTTTTAATTTATCATCTTTTTAAAAACGGAAATTTCAAAATATAGATTACACCTTATACGTACATATTGAAACTCACATAAATTATGTTTTATAAACTAGAATCATGCAGTTTAAAACTTTAGTCAATTTTTATGTCCCGAATTGAACGATCACGGGGGTATATTTTTTGTCCTGTGTGTCTGTCTGTTTGTTTGTCTGTAGTCCTGTCAAGGGTAAGAGTATACCACTTTAATCTACGTCCCACTCCAGAATTGTGTTAAAATCGCGGGCATAGTGTTTCATAAACACATCTTGTTAAATCGAAAACGGAAGGAAAGATAATGTGCATTTTTGCCCCAACCGTTTAATACCAAATTTCAAAAAACCACGCATTAACTTTCAATCTACTCAATATATATATTCTAACAAATTATCAAGGTAATCTCGTACATATAATGTGACCTATCGTTCCTCAAAAAAAAAAAAAAAAAAAAAACCGACCTAATAACACATAAAAATTTGAACTTTCGCTAACTGCAAGACATAGATTCCCTGAAGAAAAAAACCGGATCGATTTAAGATCTTTAATCATAACTGCATTCTCCTCATTAGAACTGACGTTTAATCGGCAGTACTATATATGTAGTTTAAACAGACCACAAAGACGTATATCAATTTTCTTTAAATGGTGAATATACCTTGGAACTTTTGTTTTTCGTAATTATTCAGTTTCGCAATTATTTCTGCAACTATCGTGCAGATACATGTATTATAACTTCAGTGAAATTTCTTTAAAGTGAAGTAGGTTTAAGGAAATATTAAGAAAAATCAAAGATGGGATTTTAAGCAATTCATATTTTAAAATAAAATGTGAAGAAAATTTCTAAAAATGTGTCGGATCTTCAGAATATTTTTACAAACTAAATTAGTGAATGTTTGTATTGCGACGTATTCTTTCTTGTATGAATTAAACTAAGAATTAATTTATCCACATAACTATTGACGAGGAATCTTTGACAAAAATTGTCTTTTACCGGGTATTTTTATTTAAATTTCATCAGTAAGTAATTTCATATTACTCCAATATCGTTCAATTGCAATGCTTCGAGTGAGTCATCAATACCAGTAAATAACTAGTTCAATGTATACTACAAGAATGATTGCGCATTTTCTTTGTTCTAAAGTGTTATCACGTTGTAGGCAAAAGGAGAAATGATTTTTTGTTTGGTTACAGGTAAACCCTTATGTTACAGCGTTCTACGATGCGTTCACTATCTACGGACAAGCCCTCAAAGAAACTCTTCAAGCTGGAGAAGATTACAAAGACGGGGAAGTGATAAAGAGCAGAATATGGAACAGGACTTTTCATGGTTAGTGATTAAATAATTGATTGTAGATTGTTTTAGGTCCCATTCGAGAATATTTCACTCGTATAGAGACGTCACCATAAACCGGTGAAGGGCTTTACTCGGCACTGACGAGCATTGAATAATGAGTGATCAATATCTACCGTAACACGGGACCTTTGTTTTAAGGTCTCATCACAAGGTCCCTCAACTTTTCCTTCAAAGTGTGGAGCACATGGCGAAAGAACAGTTTCTACCTATTTTTCAGTCGTGGCCAAGATTCGAACTCATGACCTTCCGAACACGGAGCGAGCACTCCACTGACTTATTAATAGCTTCCGTGATGGTCCATAGTCAGTGAAATTGTCTACATGCTGCAAGAAACTCTTAAAATGAAAACAAAATCATTAAAATTCGGTTTTGTTTATCTCAATTTCAATACAAAACAAAGATTTCAATAGTCAATTTGAAATCAATTTGCAAACCAAAGAAAAGAAAATCAGTTTTGAACATTATAGGTAATACCTAGTATTTCTATGTTTTGAAAAATAAGATAATAAATAAATTTATCAAGATACTTGTATCATAAAAAAATCAAAGTATGGAATTTCAGATTGTTTTCAACATTTAAGAAATAAATAACAAGTTTATAAACTTCAATGGGAATTGAAGTGGGTCGGTCACGTGATCAAATCCTGTGAAGGCCGAAGGCCTTCTCAGAAGATTTGCTCCAACTTCAATTCCCATTGAAGTTTATAAACTTGTTAGTTATTACTTATATATACATTTGAGACAGACAATTGAATATTTTCGAATTTAAATTATTACTAACCGTCCGTCGTAGATTTTGAAAAATGACGCAAGGTGTAAATCGGCTTGCATGGCGGTTACGCTTCAAATTCATTAGGCTAAGGAATCTATTTCAGGGAATATTTTGTGAAAGGCTACTTGTGAAAATAGTGAACAGATTGTTGTATGGGAATATTTTATTCGTGAAAATGATAATCGATGCTGAAAAGATACAAAACAAGTTTGATGATAAAAAGTTGGAGGAATTTCGGTCGCTGGAAAGGGATGGATGGATCCGATTGCAATTTCCGAGCCAGTTAATTTGCAATTTGATCAAAAATATTTCACGGTTTCGATAATTAAAGGCATACTTATCGTAAAACACTGATAAACACGGAGAGACTGGCGACAGCTTTATATTGAACTACGAAAACACCGCGGTGTTTGGCAGCTGTACATGGCATGATTGCAAAGATATTTTCCAACAGATTTACACATTTATCGTGAGTAAAATTTAAAGATAAAATAAAAGTTTATCATGAAAATTTAACCAAAGGTCTATCCAAAAAATAAGGATGAACGTTAGAGACTGTGCAGCTGACAATAGTGAAGAAAAATGTAAACAAACGCTAGGCTCCTAGTTTTCTCTATGTACAGATAGCCCAAAAACTGTATGAAATACTTGTTTACATTTAAAATAAAATAATTATCATTTTACTTGCTTATTTTATTCATTTTTATACACGAAAAGCAAGTAGAGCAGGTCATTTTATAATTTAATATATATAGGTCACGTATTGACCTCTGACCTCTGACAAACTTCATACAGAATTGAAGATATTTTCTCTCTGTATGTTTATATAATGGAGAGATACCACAAATGTATATATTTAGAATTAAAACTATATATAAAGTTGTACGAATGGATAATCAGTCATTATATCAACATTCATTTTCACATCTGTTGAATGTGATAAATATTTAGTTGATGCTCTTAATTATTATGAAAAATTCATGCATATTTTATTTCCATAACTAAGGGGTTAGTGGAGAACTTCTTATCAATGCTAACGGGGACAGAGAAATGGATATGATGCTTCTAGATATGAATCCATATTCAGGCGAATTCCAGGTTTGTGTGTAAGCTTAGATTCAGAAATCAATTTTATTTGTGTTTACGCTCTTTCAACTGTTTTTCACCTTGAAAGACTAATTTTAAGGCTGTGTGATATTTTACCGATCAAAGGATCATTTCCTAATAAGCATTGTTCATCTTATATGTACTTTAAATGTTTTTCTTTTGTATGCTTTAACTGCTTTCTGTTATGGACTATTCTGATCACAATCTGTCCTAAATCCGTTTGTCTACTGCTCCATAGGACCGTATTGTAATTATTTTCAATTTCTTTTCAAGATCCACTCGGCAAATTTTAATTAAAACTGTAAAAGTATTCTTGGGTATCCAAGCGAATTCAAGTTTATTCAAGGTTCTGTATCTGAGTAAAATATTTTTGAAGATATTTCCAATGTATTCCATTGTTCAACTTTTTTCAATTCCTCAAGTGGACCTATGTTATCCTCTGGTGTTCTAATTAAATAAACTAAAAAACTACACTACTTAGGTATGCTATCAATCAAATTATGGCCAATCATGAGTTTGTTGTACTTAGAAAGTTTTTTTTCCTCAGAAACAGAAAATCCTAAATTAAACACATAACACAGAAATTCCGCCTGTGGTATATAGTTTCTGGTTTGTTCAAATCATAACTTTCGAGGTTGTTAGAGTAAGGCCTGGCTGGAGAGCATAGAAAATCACTTGAAAACATTCTTTATAAAAACAGTATAACCTTTATAAGTCTAAGTAACAGAGAAACATTCTCCGGTAATATAGACTAAAATATGTTCAAATCATGACCCTTGGGATAGGGAGTCGTTATAATAAAGGATCAAACATAAAGGAAAACTATCTTTAAACAACTTCTAATGCCATAATTAGTCATAGAAGGAAGCATTTTAAGATAATGAAGATTCAGGTTTGTGCATTTCACGTCCTCCCTTTTGCGGGAGTGGGGGGTTGAACTGTTTATTTAAACTTTCAATATTGAATGGATTAATGCTTTTTTTCTAACCAAAGTGCTTAGGAGAGCGATGTGGCTCATGGGTCTCTTGTTGAACTTGTTATAAATTTTAGGCAGTAGGATATTTTTATGGATCAAAGGGAAGATTTGAATTCGACTCTAATGTTCCCATACACTGGCCGAACAACAAGGGTCCACCAGCCAACAGACCTCGATGTGGCTTTACTGGAGACGCACCTGAATGTAAAATCACAGGTTAATACCAAGTGAAACATTTTTTGAAAAATATTTCTTATTACGAACTTGACTATATTAATTATTCTGTTCATGGAGAAATGAATCTAAAAAACAAATTGTACACTTCATGAAAACCAAAAGCTTTCATAAAAAAGAAGAAAGACTAAGACTACACTAATATACAGAATTCTTTTTATCAGCTTTTGATTTCGATGAATGTATTGTTTTGGTTACTAGAAATAGAAATTTCTTTGAAATATTTTTAAAATGCTTCTCCTCCTGCAGTTTTATTCTGATATCAATATAACTGGGCACACAAGTAAACTACTTATATACAGAAAACTATATACAGTGTATTGGTTTTTTTATTTCGATGAACGGTTTTGCCATGGTTACTCAAAATAGAAATTTCTTTGAAATATTTTCAAAATGCCAGTCCTCCTACAGGTTGGTATGATATCAATATAACTTGGCACTCAAGTAGACAACACTAAGATAAATAATTCTATTTGTTGTTTTTTTTATTTCGATGAACCGTTTTGCCATGGTTATAAAAATAGAAATTTCTTTGAAATATATTCAAACTGATTCTCTTCTTACAGTCTTGGTCTGATTTCAACTAATCTTGCCAAGAAAACGACTAAACCAATGAATGATTTTCAAAAAATTGTTGCTGTTGCAAAGTTTAAAGTTCAAATGCAACTTTTCTCTTCCTTGCTATAATTATAAATCAGTAGAGCTATAGTCTCCTTCCTTTTGTTACTTATTACAAGTAAAAATGAACCCCGCAAAACACGTGATTCTTGAGTTGTATAATTTATTTCAAAATTTTTCTTTTCTCTTCTCAACTAGAATTTTTATTGTAAAATCTTAAATTAAAAATCCATGCTCAAAATATGAACTTTAAAGAAGCACACAAAAAGAAACAAAAAGATGTAAAGAAGCATAATTTAAGTCGTGAAAAGAATATAATCATTCGATTGAGAGAGTATTTATTTATAACAGACGCATTCCTTACCTTAGGGGAGGTACTTTTTACACTGACCATCATCGTATCATAACGTACAGTAAAAAGTTGTTCGATTAATAAAATTGACATTACATTCATCGGAAAATGAACAGGAAATTATCTCCGTAGAAATACACAAGTTCTAAAGTGATGAAAATAAAAAAAGAGTTATGATCACTTGAACCTAACTGTTAAGGCTTACCTTCCTTAGCTTTAATTGAACTTATCAAGTATAAATGTAAAACCCTTTCCGGTATATTATGTAATTGATTTTCATTTCAGAGTTTCCTTTGGTTGGAATCATATCTATTGTGTTCTCAGGTGTGATACTTATCCTGGTATTATCTGTTTTAATTGTATACAGGTATTACTTCAATATTTCAATTATATAACATAAAGGTTTTAAAAACTAAGTAGGTTTCATTCAAAACCTAAGCCAGAATCATTGCAGTTTTATCTACGTAGAGAGTGCAAATTGAAAAATAAATGTTTTTGTACTCAAATCTCGACAAATGAATTTAGTTAAAAAATTAAAAAAAATGGCAAAGTGATATAAAAATTTGTTCTTGTTACCGATTATCAGCTGTTCTTTTCTTACAAATTCTAAATTATTTGTTAGGAGAATGAAAAATGAGTCAGAATTGTGCAGCAACTGGTGGCGGATCCCCTGGGAGGAGATCACGTGGGTTTCTTCTGGTAAAAGCGAAACCTCCAGTTTAGGGTTTTCTGTGTCAAAGGTAAAATATATTCTGATCATTTTAACGCGAACGGTCCCTGTCTATCAAAGAACAATAAATACCACTTGCGTAGACATAGATATTAACGCCTGTGATAAATGTAAGAAAGTTGAACTACGAAAATTTGGAAACGTTTAGTATATCTACGGATAGATTGTGTATTGTCTATTTAACCCCTTGCAGAAATAGATTTCGAAAGTGGCATGGAAGATTTGCATATTATCTTTCTTTGCAATTTTCGTTTTTTTTAGTTTCTAAAATAACTTTAGTTTAACGATTTAAGCAAAATTGAAATATAGAGATAACAAACAATATTCAAGCTCAAAAGTCGATTCAACAATACAAATCAGGAACAGGGAATACAAGGACGTCTAAAACATCAGTGAAGGGATCGGGTGTCAGGAAGGAGTCAACATTCTCTGCCAACCCGTCACCCTCCGTACGCTCCTTATCATGGAAAATAAGGGGAACGTCCTAAAAAAAATTAAGAGTTAATAATAGCCTAATAATTAGTATGAAAACAGGTCTATGTCAGCATTAGACTTAACAATAAAATGTATTTTCTGACAAGATCATTGTATCGACCTAGAACTTGCAAAATGATGACTTTATACGAGACTGTTGATATTATTGTTTCATCAACATGTTAGTCAGTAACTAACCCATTATGAAATGATTTTTACTAAGAACATGTTCCTGTGTATCAAATCAATTGTTAGACATAAACCCCATATGCAGATGAAAAGGTATATTGTTACATAAGTAAGGGAAGTTGACGATTGAAAAGTGAGAATTCTATTGCTAAACGAAAACGTCTTCGATGTAGCTCTGTGCACAAAACACAATATTGGCACGAGAACTTGTATTGTGAATGTTATTCCGGTACGTTCAATTATCTGACATTGCTTATATCTCTGACCACAAAATATGACACAGGTGAATTTGCTATATTACTGTATCTCACTTCCATTCTTAATGACCGTGCAGTGTAGGGCAGCGCTGAGAATTCCATCGGAATCGATAGTTTTTTTTGACTTGCTTAGATTATGTTTAGTTCAATTGTTGAATCTTTTAAATTATAAATCCCATAACCTAATAGATTAAATGTTATCCTTTTATGAACACTGTTATAGTTATTGTAATCAAGCATGTTATTTTAACAAATTTACCCAGGAAGTTTTGTATTCCTGTTTTAGAGATATTTTACCTTGAGAAGAACTGAGGGTCTTTTGCCAAGATTTGATATTCTACATTTAGCAATTTTCGTAGATCCTTTTTTAGTCAAATAATAAAAACCCAAATAGGATCTTTAGGTTCACCTTTATACAGTGCATAGAACCTTTATATAAAACATGAAACTAATAACAGTATTTTGATTTTGAAACTAATGATTCAAAATTATAACCATAAATTTTTTTCATTTCCAATTATTTCCCGGTTAATACCAGTATTTTCCGGGAATTACCAGTATTTCCCACTGTCTTGGGAAGTATTATTCCCGCTTTTTCTGCCAACCCTGTGATAAAGGTGGAAGGATTTAGAACATTTATTGAGATACGACAAAAATTATAGTTTTCATAATTTTGTTAAATGAATTTCTTTACAGGTTTTTATAAAAATTCTGTCGGAAAAACTCTTATATGTAATAAGCCATGCCATAAATTACACCTTAGGTTTAGAGGGTTATAACCTTCAATCTTTTTTGTTAAGAAATAACATTTGAAAGATTAGTTACAGTGTGACATTTCTCTGATTACAGCTGAAGTCCTTGTGTGAAGATGAAATGAGCTTGATTAAATACAGAAACTCTTTGGTGGCCACATACAAGGTTCTCTCTCTCTCTCTCTCTGTAAATATAATATAATATAATATGATGTATTATATATTATATGATATATCATATTATCTCAGATAAGTGCATATAAAAACATCAAGTATGAATTTAATAAATTTTATTGTGGCGAATATTGGGCACGGCTGTTTATCCAGAGACACAAATTATGAAAAGATATTGGTGTCTCTGGCAACACAACAAAGCAAATATTACATATTAAATATTAAAACTCAGGTTCAAAGTTCAAAGGTCAAAGTTCACAAACACCATATCAGAAAGTGGTAAAAGCCTTGACCCTGGGAGGTGCAGAGGTCAAGCACTTATTTATGTATATCTAAATCCAAAGTTTACTTTTCAACTTTCATGAGTTACATGACTGCATATAAGGATAGTTACTTAGTGCCGCTCGTTTACGCCACAAGTTCCCGACCACAAGTTCTTTGTGGTAGGGAACTCCGCCACCATATGGGTGGGGGTAGAGCGGCAGAAGTAGCCATGCCCAAGCCAATACCTATCATGATTGATGAAATTGATTCCCTGTAAAACTAAAGCTAACCCCCAATTATACATGGAGTCGATGTGATGACCCTAATAAAATAGTATCTAAGATTTTGGTGATGAGTAGATCAAAGAAACATGTACGCATGTATATCACTACACATGCAATAACCAGGAATATATAAGCAAAATACATAAACGAGAAACAGATTAAAAATTTAAAATCTACTTCATATCTGAATTAAAAGGAAACTGTACTAACCTTATTACTGGAAATATTATTACCTATTTTTTGGAATACAGCTGTACATGTATATCAAACTAACTTTATGAGAAAACTGGAGAAACGAACGTTGATCTAACTCAGATATTAGTGTACATGTATGATCATACAAAGGTGAACATTTTATTGAACAAGTACCCCTTGAATTTCTTTGGGTAGGATCATGTGCTTTAAAGAAAGGCATTCCCTACTGGCTGTTCAAATTTGCCTCAAGCCCTATATATATTGATTGGTGCAATGGGACATTGTGTTGAAATTTAGAATAAAAACAAGAGCCTACCAATTGGTATGAAACATTAAAATATGACATACTTATGGGTTAAATTTACTAACACGGTCAGTATAACAGCAATAGAATTTACAAAATCTAAACTTATACCATATAATGCTAGCTTAGGACACCCCACCACTAATATTCAGAGTTGGGAAATATGCCACACTTCCAGCAAGAAAGTAAATGATGTTCAAATTAGAATTTGTATGAGAAGTATGTCCAATCAAAGACCAGTTGGAGCCATAAAATTAATACTCAAGCAGTACTAGTCTTGTGATTTCAAGGTTTTGCCAAAAATTTAGTCCAATAAACAATTGTAGACTTAGTGAACACTACTGATCTTTCATGCTTCGCTGATTAAATATTATATTCTTGTAGTATATGAAATTAAAAGTTGTAAATATTTGTACTAAGCATAATAAATTGTTAAATTCTTTGTTTTCTAAATAACTTAAAAGATAATCAGCTGCACATCATATTTTGATTGTTACATAATGATGTATGTGTTAAGTTTAATTTTCATAAAAATTGAAAAATAATTAAACATGTAAAGACTACAATGAAAATAGGTGCAGATCAAGTAATTTTGTAGTGTGTGTAGATTTTGAATGTTTAGTGTATGTAAAGGATGGAATCAATTATTATATATATACAACCATGCAGCTACATGCGGGTCATGATCAATAGTTTCATTAATTTTTTTCATTTAATCATGCAGTTTGTGTAATGTAAATTAAGGGCTATAATTCAAATATATGGGCATGGGCCGCCATCTTTTTTTTTTTTTATTTTTTTTTTTATTTTTTTTTAATGCAGTGTGTATGTTTAGTCTATGTAAATTAAGGGCTGTAATTCAAATACACCAAGGGCAATGGTGCACCAGCAAAGAGCATGCCCCAAATCAAATAATCAAACAACATCAATCAACACATATTCACAACATTCAACATATTGTAGCTGCAGGTTTTTTGATTAACAGTTTATTTATTTTTTTTTTTTTTTGATTTTCTTTTTGTATAAATGCATTGTGTATGTTTATTTATTTATTTTTTTGTAAAAATGCATTGTGTATGTTTAAATTAGTGTATGTAAATTAACGGCTGTATGAATTCAAATACACCAAGGGCAATGGGCAGCCAGCAAAGAGCATGCCCCAAATCAAATAATCAAATGTAACCAACACATATTCACAACATTCAATATATTGTAGCTTCAGGTCTTGATTAACAGGTTTTTTTTTTTTTTTTTTTTTTTTTTTTTGTAAAAATGCATTATGTATGTAAATAAAGGGCTGTATGAATTCAAATACAACAAGGGCAATGGGCAGCCAACAACGAGCATGCCCCAAATCAAATATTCAAACAACATCAAACAACACATATACACAACATTCAACATAATTTATAAGCTACACATACAACAATGTAGCTGGGAGTTCATGATCAGATTTTTTTTTTGTTTTTTTTGTTTGTTTGTTTGTTTATTTGTAAAAATGCGGTGTGTATGTTTCGTGATGCAAGATGTAAGTGTAAAATGCTCTGTGTGAGTAGTTAATTGTGTTATGAGTTCATAAAAATTGTTAGATGGACAATGGGCTTTATTTTGCGGATTCATTGTATTTAAATTGATTTAAGTATAAAGGCTATTATGAAAGAATTGAAAATCATATAAAACTTGTGCAATGTGCAACCCATAGATGCATGCATGTCTAGAACATATATCTCTGAACGATATTTCAAATAAACATTGTTGCTAACAAAGGAATCAGCTAGATAGATCTATATTGTCATGAATTGAAATTGTCCATTTTGTTTAACTGTTTAGGCTATCTTTACAGTCTTAACACATCAGAGTTGCATTAAAAGTATGATAAAGGTGCCTATAAACTCATAAGACACTACCTATAAATTTAAAGAGAGGTTAAAAGGAGATATAGCAGAAACAAGACTGTTAAACACTAAGTTAGGCAAAACCCTACACCAGGAATTATCATCAGACTTGTGCATGTATGATGTGTTCCAGATTTCTACATGAGCACGACAGTCCTGCTGGAAGCGGGTATGTGGCAACGCACTTTGAAAAAATTACGCACTTTGAAAAATTTTTTCAAAGTGCGTTAAAATTGGGACAAAATCAACGCACTTTGAAAAAAATTTTCAAAGTGCGTTAAATTTGGGACCTACTCAACGCACTTTGAAAAAATTTTTCAAAGTGCGTTAAGAGTCTACATCAATATATTTTACCATGGAGACACTTAACGCACTTTGAAAAAAAAAATCATATTTTAGTCATGGAAAGATTTTATTTGTTATTTATCTTTAAAAAAACTAAGCCTAACCCTAACCTCAAAAATGAATTGATTTACTCCTGTTGAAAAGAGGAGAAGACGGGTATAAGATCCCTCAGTCCAAATCTTTATCTTTCCAATACATAGGTGTCGGTAACAAACGGGGGAGGGGAGCAATAAACCTAAAAAGGGTACGCTGCATTTTCAATGCTTATACGATGTATATATCTTTCCAAAATAAGTTGGGGGCTTAGCCCCCATCCCCTCCCCTGGCCCTTCGCCCAGTCTCGATGTCTATGCTATACTCAAAGCATTCATATAATTATGTATTTACCTAACTGGAATGACCTTGAAAACTTCCAATAATAAATGAGTTAATTAAAACAGATTAAAACTAGATATTTTTAAGGTCATAGGCAACGTAGTTTGAACTTTTTGGGATTCTTCCCTGGAGTTGAAGAGTTCCACTAAATGAAGGACCTGTGTGCATTATTTTTAATCTCTATATATGGATTTGTATACTTCTTCTAAAACAATTTTCGATGAAAAAAAATTTGGAATTCATGTTTTATAATTTTTGTACATTTTTATTTGAATAATGCAAAAATTTTCAAAATTTGATATCTTTTCATAACCCCTGGTAACGCATGCTGATTTTTTTTCTAAGAACATGTAATGATATCATAAGTTTAAATTTAGAATATCTTGGAAAATTATCAGTAGGTAAGGTACGTTGCGTATGTCCTTAAGTACAGTAAAACGTATGAGAGAGAAAGAATTTTCATAGTTTTGAACAATCAAATTGGCCCCTTTTTATTATGATAAATGCTAAGTTGCTTGAAGCTGTCCTCTGTTAGTGCCCCCTATACACCTTTACATCTACTTATCAAAGACTTGAATTTAAAAAAAAAAAAGAAACGAATTAATGAACATTAACAATCGTCACTCTTTTTTTTCAAGATCTTTTAATTTTCCCTTTTATTTTATCAAAACCTTAAATATTTAAAACGTCAATATCTCAGGTCCTACAGTGACTTTATCATAAAAAAGTTATCAAACCAGGATCTGTTATTTACATACCGATTATTTGAAGGAATAATGATCAATCTTTACATTTTTTTCAAAGTGCGTTAATATGGTCGATATTAACGCACTTTGAAAAAAAAAATATTTTTTTCAAAGTGCGTTAGCTTGGTCCCAAATTTTAACGCACTTTGAAAATTTTTTTCAAAGTGCGTAATTTTTCAAAGTGCGTTGTAACACGGGTATAAATTTATCTGGCTAGAATTTGATTGTATATTGTTTAATGGACGTTGAGATTGAATACTGTTCGTTATTTCCATATCCTTCTCATAAAACCGTCCAAAATATTTAAGAGAGAAAAATTTTAAATTGTATATAGAATGTACCTTATTTTTATCTTGTGCTTGAAAATCTAGTCCAGGGCCTAATCACTCCCCACTCTTGACAGTATACAGAAAAATCAGCATGCCCTAAATTTTAATAAATCCGGTCAATACAGGAAGTTTATATGTTTTTCATCTCATAATAAAATTCAGCTCCAGTCTCGTATCAAAATGCCCGAATCGGAAGGGAAGATTCCGGGATTATTTTGCGTCAGCCATGATTTGACGAGAACCAAAGTGTAATACTGTTATGTAACCTTAAAGTAAAACTGGAAGTTGTATGTTCGAACTAAACGACAAAACCAAATCCGAAAAACAATCACTTGTCAGATCGCTTAGCAAATGCTCGGATAATTGCGGGGTATAGAAAAATCGTGTTAAAATATTAGTTATTAAATCAATCTAGCAAGTGCAATCGACCCTAGTTTTAATATATCGATCATAGCTATCCGTATCGACATGTAATTTCGAGAGTTACCCCCCGTCCCGATCTTAATGTTAATATTGAATCTATGGTGCTGGAAGTCTTGGCGACGACCCCCCCCCCCAAGCCATTTAACTATGTATTTTAAATACATTTATATCTATCTAGACCCTCTATTTATAACTAAGGCCCCATTTCACAAGCTTTACATTATGTCCACGCTACCCCCCCCCCAAGAAATCCATTAACATCGGGGACAATAGGCTAACTATACCTAATCCTAGCATAAAACCTGAAAATATCACTTCTAAAAATGCCTTCTCTAAATCAGTTAATAATTTCAATGATTGTTTCAAATTTATAATACACAATAACAAGCTGGAAAATTTTTACCGACCCAAGATGATGCTGGAACATTGAAAAGGGAAGTTGCAACCAAAGCGCCCTCAGGTGTTTTTATTAAAAGGGGGATAATCAACTAAAATATTTGACAAGAACGATAATCACTAGGAATAAGTACTGAGATTTAGGTAAAGCATTTATGCACTTCCTTCGATAAAAGCAGCTAATTCAGAGTGAATTAGCTTTGAATATTATATACGATATGCTAGTATGTCTGTGAAAGAAAACATATGTATTGTCAATGTAAAATATCTCTTATCTCATTAGGGGGCGAAAGTGTCTCTTTTCAAACTTAATACGAGTGCATTACCTACCACAAGAGAGTTCCTTTTAGATTTAATACAGGTATGGAATTCAAATAAAATAATGGTGTTTTCTTCATTAAAAAAATATTTGGCATTTAAATTTTGCGATATTATGTTCTAAAAGTATAAACATTTATAATCTTAAAACTTTGAAAAATTATAAAAAGTAAATGTTTTCAAAATTCCTTTAAGCTTGGAAACATATATTTGACTGAATATTTTTTTTTTCAGCTTAGAAACATAAATTGTAACAACTTGACAAAATTTATCGGACTTACTGAGAGTGTATCGGGTATTTATGCCGTGAATGAATATTGTACACGTGGAGATTTAAGGGTAAGTTAATTTTGAAGGGCATGAATTTTTGGGAGTACAACCCATTGAATAGTTTAACAACTTATTACCTGTTCATACAGTGTAATTCAAATTTGATTTATGAGTTTCTGATTGATAATATCAATGTAGTTTTTGGAGACCAGGTCTTCGAACTATATATTGGAATTCCAATGGGTACCAATTGTGGCCCGTTATAAGCAGATCTTTTTGGGTATTCATATGAAGAGAATTTGTCCAAAATCTAATGCGTGAAATGAACACTTGCTCTGGCTTTCAGCTCGATATTTGGAAATATCGACAACGTATGGTCAATTATCCATTCTTATGTCGATACATATATGATATATCCCGGTGAGCTTGAGAAAAAAAAATACCATAGAATCTAACACACATCTTTTCTCTCGTCAACTTCCCTTACTTAGGCAGCAATATACCTTCATCACCTGCATACGGAGTTTATATATCTCAGATGATTCGATACGCAAGAGCATGCTCTACGTATGAACAATTTCTTAAACGATGTAAATTATTGACAAACAAGTTGATGAAACAAGAATACCGAGATTCTCGTTTAAATTCGTGATTTCGTAAGTTCTACGGTCGGTGTAATCATAATAATGACCTTGTCAGCAAATTCAATTTATCTTTGAGTTCAATGTTTTTTTCATACCAATTGTTAGTCCATTATTTATATACTGAATTGACGACGGATTTTCCCGTTATTTCCCTATCATGACAAGGAGCACCCGGCGGGTGTGACCGGTCAGCAGGGGATGCTCACTCCTCCACCTGACACCTGACCCCACCTCTGATATTTCGGAGGTCCATGTTTGCTCTGCTAATTTTTGTATTGTTTTATGGACTTTTGATCTTAAATACTGTCTCTTATTTCGATATATTACATGCAAAACAAATATATACCTTTTGAAAAATCTCCTTTTTAATAGGGATATTTTTGAACGAACATGTTCCAAAATTTATAATATGTTTGCCGAATAAGAATATGCAGCTTACAATATACACTGATTTTTTTTTTACTGAGAAGGATTATGACAGATATAAAGTCAACATTTCTAATTTTTGATTTTTCTTGAAGGATATTTTGAGTAACGATTCTTTCACATTGAACTGGGAATTTCGAGCATCCTTAATCTGTGACATAATTCAGGTAAGATAAAAGTTTACATAATTCAGTTGGAATAAAAACGAGCGATTTCATCGTGTGTAATACTAACAAAACAATATAAAAAAAAATCTTTCTATATTTGCTCAATTTGTAGGCAATGGACTATATTCATAGCTCCAACATGAAATACCACGGTCATCTCACTAGTATGAATTGTGTGATCGACAGCCGCTTTGTTTTAAAAGTTACAGAGTTTGGAATACAAACTCTTAGAGATTTTTATATAGATATTACGGATAAAGGTAGGCAAACCTAATAAAAGAATTTGTTTTTTTTACCAGGTTATGCGTACATTTATTGATCACTCATATACAACAAGAATGTTTTATTTTCAGAAGACAAGTATGACAAGAAGGCATTCCCTGTAAATTTCTCTGTTATTCATCAGACAATATTTTATTTGTCAATGCATATTTTACAAGCACTGGTTATCATATCATTTTAGCTCACCTGAGCCGAAGGCTCAAGTGAGCTTTTCTGGTCACATTTTGTCCGGCGTCCGTCTGTCTGTCCGTCTGTCTGTAAACTTTTCACATTTTCGACTTCTTCTCAAGAACCGCTGGGCCAATTTCAACCAAACTTGCCACAAAGTATCCTTGGGTGAATGGGATTCAAGTTTGTTCAAATGAAGGGCCACGCCCTCATTCAAGGGGAGATAATTGGGAATTAATGAAAATTTGGTAGCATGTTTTAAAAATCTTCAACTCAAGAACCACTGTGCCAGGAAAGATGAAACTTATGGGGAAACATCTTCAGGTAATGTAGATTCAAGTTTGTTCAAATCATGACCCCCGGGGGTAGGGCGGGGCCAAAATGGCCGACCAAAGTTTTACATAGAAATATATAGGAAATTTATTTAAAAATCTTCTCCTCAAGAACAACAAAGCCATAATTGATCATATTTATATGGAAGCATCCTCAGGTAGTGTAGATTCAAGTTTATTCAAATCATGACCCCCAGGGTTAGGGCGGGGCCAAAATGCCCGACCAAAGTTTTAAATAGAAATATGTAGGAAAAATCTTTAAAAATCTTCCTCTCAAGAATGACAAAGCCATAATTGATCATATTTATAAGGAAGCATCCTCAGGTAGTGTAGATTCAAGTTTGTTCAAATCATGACCCCCAGGGGTAGGGCGGGGCCAAAATGGCCGACCAAAGTTTTACACAGAAATATATAGGAAAATTTTTCTAAAATCTTCTTCTCAAGAATAGCAAAAGCATAATTGATCATATTTATATGGAAGCATCCTCATGTAGTGTAGATTCAAATTTGTTCAAATCATGACCCCCAGGGGTAGGGCGGGGCCAAAATGGCCGACCAAAGTTTTACATAGAAATATATAGGAAATTTATTCAAAAATCTTCTCCTCAATAACAACAAAGCCATAATTGATCATATTTATATAGAAGCATCCTCAGGTAGTGTAGATTCAAATTTGTTCAAATCATGACCCCCAGGGGTAGGGCGGGGCCAAAATGGCCGACCAAAGTTTTACATAGAAAAATGTAGGAAATTTCTTTAAAAATCTTCTTCTCAAGAATAGCAAAGCCATAATTGATCATATTTATATGGAAGCATCCCCAGGTAGTGTAGATTCAAGTTTGTTCAAATCATGACCCCCAGGGGTAGGGCGGGGCCAAAATGGCCGACCAAAGTTTTACATAAAAATATATAGGAAAATTCTTTAAAAATCTTCTTCTCAAGAATAGCAAAGCCATGATTGGTCATGGGACTACTTTTGGATTTAAGCTTTTCGAGTATAAACCAATTCTGCTTTTTCCTAGCCACAGTGCTCAGGTGAGCAATGTGGCCCATGGGCCTCTTGTTTATTTATTTATTTTAGATTTTTTTTTTTGTAGTTAGTCGAAATAACTTGGTATTGACATCTCTTTTATACGGAATATCATAGCATTTATACAAATCTTACATGATCGCAGAGTTAAAGGATGCCATTCCAAAAATGGTGACTTAGCTTAAAGACTTCCTTAATGTCATTAAAGGGGCCTGGACACAGTTTCAACTGATTTTTTAAAAACCAATTTTAATGTTTACAATTCCTACCTAAGGCATCATCTATTGATTATCAAAAATTTGAATATCATTTGTTGATTAACAAACAAGATACAGAACTTTAAGTTATTCATAATGTAAACAAGGCTCATGCTTTGTTTTTGTTTACATATAGAAAATATATTTTTAACAAAAATGAAGTTCAGCAAATCAATAGTAGCTGACAAATTGTATTTAAAATTAACTTTTATTTGAAACTATCTACTATGAACGAACAACTTTGAACGAATTCGTATATTAACCTGTGTAAACAAAAACATGACACTAGCCTTGTTTACATAACAAAGGTTTGGAGCTCTAAATCTGTCTTGTATCTGGACAACTGGCGTTCAAATTTTTGATGATCATTAGAAAGACCTTAGTTAAATATTTGTAAAATGGAAAAATAAATTCTGAAAATTTAGCTGAAACTGTTTCCATGCCCCTTTAAAACATGACAGATGCTCTTTTGGTTGCCCCTGAGTTGCTTCGTAAACCTAAAGCTGAGAGGGACGTTCCGGAGATGCAGTGTGCTGATATTTACAGCTTTGGCATCATCCTGTACGAAATACTGTCACGTAAAGAGGCATTTGAGGACGACAAAGAGTTCCTATCCTTCGATGGTTCGTAAAAACCTAGTGAAAAATTAAGTTGGTCAGTTGATTCTTTAAAACAATCTTCTCTTTTGTGTCTATTTTGTAAGTATATCACAATGAATTATTTCTAAATTTGTAATTTTTGTTTTAATGATAATAATTAAATCCACCTGGATTTTTTTTTTTCAGAGATCATTAGAAAGCTAAAGGAGGTTGATGAAACACCATTCCGTCCAAGATTAGATGTTGCTGATGCTGACAAGGAAATGGTTAATTTAATGAAAGCTTGCTGGAATGAAAATCCGAAAGCTAGGCCAACATTTACCACAATAAAAAAAGAAGCTTCAAGATTGCACTGGTAAGTATTAGTGTTTATAAATAATTAACAAATAGACCGTAATTTCACAAGATTTTAAGTTCCACGTATATATTATATTTGATTTATTAAGATGTTTTTCTCTATACGTTACTAAGGGATGAAGATTAGGAAAAGTATGCTCTTTTTATGTTGAATTTCATCGGATATTCATTAGCATTTCATTATTCCTAAAGGAGACCCTGAAATTGTCTCAATTTAACTAAAAATAAAAATAAAATACTACAGATAACTCATATGAGGGTTAACCCAAAAATATGTCACAACGTACAAAGAATATATTTATTTCTGTGTGCTTTTCATCTTTTACATTCAGGGTACTATGTTTGGAAGTAGCAAAATTTTAAGTCATTACTGAGATTTACTTTAAAATTTATCACTAATCACTATGGATATCTTCATTAAAAGCTAAACAAACTAATATAGGATTAAATTCGATCACCTTTTAGAATACGGGTTAAGTTTTTGTTACATGACATTGTCAGCAAGCAAATACAATTCATCATTGAGTCAAATGCTGGCTGACGTTTTTCATATTAATTGTTAGTCCATTATTTATACACTGAATTGACGACGGATTTTTTCCGTTATTTCTTGATCATGACAAGGAGTACACGGCGGGTGTGACCGGTCGGCCTTGTATGGCCACTCCTCTATCGCACCTGATCCCACCTCTAATGTTTTGGAGGTCCGTGTTTGCTCTGCTCCTATTTTGTATTGTTTTATAGGCTTTGATATTGAATACTGTTTGTTATCTCCATATCCTTCGTTTCATTCATTTTCAAAAATCATTGATGCCTGTCCTCCCAATACATGTAATTTGTTCAGAAGGATAAAAATTGTGACAAGTTTTTGGATAATCTTCTATCCCATATGATTACAGGGATAAAACTGAGGAAAAGTTTTTGGATAATCTTCTATCCCATATGTTTACAGGGATAAAACTGGTGACAAGTTTTTGGATAATCTTCTGTCCCGGATGGAAGAATACGCTAATAATTTAGAAGACTTAGTGGAAGAGAGGACACAAGCATTTTTAGAGGAAAAAAGGAGATCCGAGGAGCTGCTTTACCAAGTTCTACCAAAGTACGCCGCGCCGTCAGTTATTGTATAGCACCACATTTTTCTAAAATATCTTTTCAATACGATTTATCATTTGCTTTTACAAAATATATACATTGACATTATGATACTTCGATAAGAAGAGGTCAATCAAAAAGTAAATGAATATCATGTAGAGATAATAGGCAGCATTCAAGCTCAAAAGTCTATTCAAACAATACAAATCAAGAACAGAGCAAACACAGATATCTTAAACATCAGAGGAGGTAAAATCAGGTACCATAAAGGAGTGAACATCCCTTGACAACCGGTCATATCTGCATTGCGGTGAGCTCTTTCTCATGACCGGGAAATAACGGAAAATCCGTCGACAATTACTTTGTACATACATGCCTAACAATTAGTGTGAAAAACGTCCATTATCATTGCTGACACTGTTGCTATTCTTGTTTCATCAACTTACTTGTCAATAGCTTACCTCGTTTTAGAGCATGTTTTATAAATCAATTGAGAGATATATAAACCCATATGAAGGTGATAAATGTAAGTATTTTGCTAGTTTGCTACTTAAGTAAGTGGAGTTGACGAATGAAATGTTATTTCCATTTTCTCTTTAAATAGGGATTCTTTTCGGGTTTCTGACAAGATGTTATATTCAAATTATATCTGCTGACATTTTTTTAATATGTTTAGGTCTTATAAAATTAAAAGATCATATTTTTCTTTCCTCATCACAATTGTACAACTTTAAATAGAAACGGTAAACAGAATTTGAAATCTAGCGTTGACTAAATTTTTTACGGAATGACGGAATGACGACTTAAAAAAATATATTCTTTTCTGCTTCTCGGCATTTCTATAAAACAATGCTTTAGTTATAATTTTGACAAAATCAAAAAAGAAATTTTTTAGATGTCAGTAAATTAATTATAAGAGACCAAGATTTTAAAATGTATCAAAGTGCTCTCTCTCTCTCTCTCTCTCTCTCTCTCTCTCTCTCTCTCTCTCTCTCTCTCTCTGATATTTCATATTTTTTTCTTCTTTCCTAGCAATCTAATATTTCATAATTTTTTCTTCTTTTTTATCAATCTAATTAAAATTAGATCTTTGATCCGCTCAAGTTTGATCTCCACACTGTGAGTAGCGATCAAATTGGAGCAGATCAAAGATCTAATTTTAATTAGATTGCTTTTCTATATAAGCATTTAAGACCTTTATAATCTATAGGTATGTCGCAGATGAACTGAGAAATGGTCGAACGGTTGATCCTGAGGCGTTTGGTTGTGTTACGATATACTTCAGTGATATTGTCGGATTTACGTCCCTTTCATCAGAGAGTACTCCTATGCAGGTTCAAAGAGCATTTTTGAAAAACCCCTCTATGTTTTGTGTTAAATCTGTAAGCCTCCGTTTTATTTGAGACATGGAAACCGATTCAAAATATATACTGTTAATTATTGTAGTTTAAAAACTGAAAACTGAATTAGTAATTTTGAATGAGATATCGCACATCAAATTCATATATAAAAGATAATGGTTAGAGGTCATAAAAACATTGTGACTACGCAGCATGAACATATGCAGTACCAAGTATGCGTATTTATTTGAATTAAATTCTCCTTTTTAAGGTAGTCGATCTGTTGAATGATCTTTACACCTGTTTTGATAAGATCATAGAAAACTATGATGTATACAAGGTAAGTAAAATCTCAGTCGATATAGATTTTTCAAAATGTGACATTTGGTAGGATTCGGAACTACGAATAAAAAGATTTTTCTTAATATAGAGAAAAACGTATCTTGATACACACAGAGGCAGAAACAAATAGAGTATAATTTTCGTCAAAGGAATACCAGAAGTATTTTTCATCATAAGAATATCAGAAGTATTGAATATATTTGTAGAAAAAAAAATCATAGATATTTTTGATTCAGGTGGAAACAATTGGTGATGCATACATGGTCGTGTCTGGTCTTCCAGTTCGTAACGGCGACAAGCATGTCGTGGAAGTAGCCAAGATGTCTACTGCTATATTAGATAATGTAAAAATGTTTAAAATACGTCACAAGCCGAATGAAAAATTACGTGCCCGTATAGGGTTACATTCAGGTAAATTTACATTGGAAAATATTGTTTAAATCTTTTTATATATTAATTTTGCTAAATATATCGTGTTAAAAGATGTTACGAACAGTTTTCAAGCTCAAAGTTCATTAAACAGTACAAAATAGGAGCAGAGCAAACACGGACTTCCAAAACATAATAGGTGGGATCAGTTTCTATGGAAGAGTATGGGATTGATTTTTAGTAAACATCGTTAAATGTTACTCGAAATATAATACTGTGAATGTTTTTTTTTCTAAATAAAGGAAAAAGCTGAGCTTTAGCCAATAAAGGATATGGCTTTGTCTTCATTTTTAACATAACTTAATTTATTCTAACGCCGCATTAATTAATTGGCAAAGACATTTTTTATTTTATGTATATACATGTAGTTTCGAGAATTACCACGTTAAATTTTAAAAGCTTGAAAAGTTTTATCACAGTATCTTCATTGTTGAGAAGGATTTTCTGATTTAAATTGATAACAATAATATTGGTTTGTTTGCGTCGGTTTAAATATTTTATTTTACTTTTTAATTATAATATTGAGGTCCCGTTTGTGCTGGTGTTGTTGGACGAAAAATGCCTCGATATTGTCTGTTTGGAGATACAGTTAACACTGCCTCTCGAATGGAGTCAAATGGGGAGGGTGAGTATGTCGCAATCATGTAATATACTTGATATCTGATTTTTTCCTTTAATTAGAGAGGTTTAGCAAACTAACGTGTACGCGTACTTGTACGTGTGAATTACAAGTTAGAGTTACAAGTACAAGTTGTTATTACTTTTGTTGTTTAGCAATTAAAACGTGTACGTGAAAATTTTTGAATGTAAAAGTTTTTTTCATTGGATAATAATAAACATTTATTAGCTTATAAGCTTTGATTTTACAATCTTTTGAAAATGGCACTAAATTTAAAGATGCTGGCCGCAATTTCGGAAGACGACGACTTATTACTTCTGGAAACGAAATCCAGTAAATATGAATCTCTACTTCAATTAGAGGAAATTTCAGACCAACAATGTAAGCATTTATTTCGCTTTGATAAAGCTGGATTGAATGAGATCAGACGTGTAATGGAAGTCCCAGAGGTTTTTCGGTGTGCGAATCGCACAGTGTGCAGTGGAATGGAGGGGTTATCCGTTGTAATTGTCTCGAGGACTTATCCCCGCTATTTGGTAGAACAAAATATGAGCTTTCAAACATATTTAACACAGCACTTGACTTCATATACGACAATTATGCCTTTCTTCTCGATACAATGGACAGACCCTGGTTGTCACATGGTGAGCTTCAAGCCATGGCTACCGCTATTCAGGATAAAAATGCTCCTCTGGAAAACTGCTGGGGTTTCATCGATGGTACCGTTCGACCAATATGTCGTCCAGCGCACAACCAGAGAATCGTTTACAATGGCCATAAACGAGTGCATGGCTTGAAATTCCAAAGTATCATGGCCCCTAATGGAATAATTGCGCACTTTTATGGCCCAGTGGAAGGGAGACGACACGATGCTGGTTTGCTGAGAGAGAGTGGTGTGGAAATTGAAATGCAGAGGAATATGACTATGCCCAACAATGAGGTCTACTGTGTTTTTGGGGATCCAGCATATCCCTTAATGCCATTCATTGTACCACCCTTCAAAGGTGCCTTTCTTTCTGCTAACCAAGCACGTTTTAACAGGCGCATGTCAGCTATAAGAATTTGTGTGGAGTGGGGATTTGGGAAACTGTTGAGCCTGTTCGCTTTTCTTGATTACAAGAAAAACCACAAACTTTATCTTCAGCCTGTTGGAAAATACTATAAAGTCGCTGCCTTACTAACCAATTGTCATACATGTTTGTATGGGAGCGAAACTGGGTCGTTTTTCGGGCTGCATCCACCCTCCCTTGAAGAATATTTACATCGTTGACTGTTCTGAAATATTTTCATTCAAATATAAGACGCAGAGTAAAGAAAAATGTACAAAACAAACTTAAGACATGATTTAAGTTTTATTAATATTTATTTATCGTGTTTTTCAATTTTGATATTTATTGATTAAAATTTGAAATTTGCAATACACAAAATTATTTTTGATTCAAAGCTTTCTGGAGAAGCTGCAACATTAGAGCCTTTTCCTTTTTTTATCTCTACTCTTTCCCTTCTTTCTTCTCTTTCTAATTCAAATCTTTCCCTCTGAAGTTTAAGTTCTTCTCATCTCAGTTTAAGTTCCTCTTTCTTATATTCGCTTTCTTGGTTAGATTTATATATATATATATATATATATAGATTTATGAATTTAAAATCAATATATATAATTTTTATAGTGATTTATATATATTTTATATACTTTCTTTTATTCTCTCTTCCTCCTCATTATAATTCCAATATGTATTGTCTAATAATGTTGTTTTTTCGTCATATTCTTCAGAAACTCCTGATCTAAGTTAAAAAAAAAAACAATATATGATACTTTTCTGAATCTAAAAATCATGTAGGTCTACAGTCATACATGTAATATATAACTTAAATCAATAAATGTTTGAACTCTAGTCATAGATCTGCTTCAATGTAATTAATTTCATTTAAAAAAACCATTGTTCAAAATTCTGCTTGAACGTAATATGTGATTCTTAAATATTTCCAAACCCCTTGACTTTTTAGTACCCCCCCCCCTTTAAAAAAATTTAAAAGTCACCGCACTGATAGAATCTTGATAATGGATATATTTTTTTCAACATGCAGCATTGTAATTTATCTAAGATTATTATACCTGCTCTTCTGAATTTTCCTTATATAAAATTATATAGTTAGATGTAATACCGGCCATACACAAGCCATATACAAAGTATAGGCCCCTATGCAAAGTAAAAAAAAAATCAGATTGGGAGTATGTGATAGTTTTTATACTTTTTCTTGCTTTCTGCATCATTTTTTCTATGGTGTTCCAACAGCAGGTTGGTTCTCTCTCGGACTCTCCGGCCATCTACCGTGAATCCAGCTCTGCTAATAGCGTCACTGACGTCAGTCCATCGATCTTTAAACGGGTTTTTTGCCAAGACTTCTCTCAGAAGTAACAAATCATCCTTCTCGGAAAATCTTATTTGTTTCTTACGCTCAGACATGTTAGGAAACTGAAAAATAATAATACAGTGATACTTTTTTATTACTGTGTATTTCAACAACCCTGCCATGCCCCCCCCCCCCCCCCCCCCCCCCCCGACCAATATATATGAATTATAAAAGATGATTTGTGAACTTATATCGTGTATCACTAATTTGAACAAATTAATGCATAAACATCTAAAGAAAATGTTTTTTAAAGGTTGTCTTAAACTTCATTCATATATCGATATGTTGTGACAGACAAGATAGTAAATAGGTGTGTGTATTTGACAAGCAATAAGATACTTTTTTCAATGAGAACATATGTTTTTTTCTACCAACATCCGCATCATATCTTCTATTTTTCGAAATTTGTTATCTTTCTTTCAAACAAGCATCAAATAAAGAAATATCAGCTAGAAGTTTGTACTTACGTGTACTCGGTGATCTACACGTTTCGATAAACGTGTAGAAATTCGTCATTATACACGTACAAGTACGCGTACACGTTGGTTTGCTAAACCTCTCTATTATTTCCTCTTTACTTACAGATTGTCCGATTAAAATTCCTTAAATGGTATAAATAAATTTCATTTTATTTATATTTACATTTGCAAATGTTTTCCTTTATATAACACTACTGAAGGCAAGCGTTTTTATAACTGTGTAAATACAGGTATGGGGTCAAGAGGTCATAGATATAAACGTTCGACGTAATTTCTATAAAGGGTCGACGCGCGTTTAGTGGATTACATACATGCCGTTGGGTTTGAAAAATTAACGCATTTCACACGTTAAAAGTAACATTCAGGCAAATATAAATATGAATAAGTCACAAATATAAGGTATCGTTTTTTGAGTTTTATTGAGATGTAAAATGGCACATTGTACCCTTTTTACATCTCAATAAAACTCAAAAAATGATACCTTATAAATCAAATATATATATATATATATATATATATATATATATATATATATATATATATATATATATATATATATATATATATATATATATATATATATATATTACATTATGTGTTAATTGCTTGCATTCTTAAATAGCAATGAAAATCCACGTAAGTGAGTCGACCAGAAACCTTCTTGTGGACAATCAAGACTTTGAGCTAGAGGAAAGGGGACATATAACCGTAAAGGTATAGGTATATGAATATTACAAACAAAGTTTCTTTCAAAGTGCTCTAAGATCCAGTTTTGATTAGCCGTTTATGGTTAGTAAATGTTTATATATTTTCTCTTTTTAATGTTTATTTAAAATAATAACATTTTATGACGAAACAACTTTTACTTCTTGTTTAAAGAAAATTTATGTGATCGATATACCAAAAAGCCAAATTGAACAGAAACAAATGTATGGTGGCAGAATTCTGCCCTCTAAATGCCAGAATAAAAGATAAACTATGTCAACATTAAAGAATACTGTTCAACCATACATCTTAAAAATCTTACGTTTAGAGAATCTGACATGAAAATTTGTAAATTTATTTGCCTTTGTATCTGGCAACATGCATACACCAAACATAAGCATTATGAGATACTACTATATTATGTCAACAAAAGAGTTAACAATGTTAACATGCGGTTTATTTTAGTCATCATTTGAAAAAATAATAATAAATGCTTAAGATGTACAGGCCAACATGCGAAATGATTGACTTAACTTTCAATCATCAACTTCCCTTTTTTATGCAGGGATTTACCTTCATCATTTGCATACAGGATTTACATCTCTCAGTCCATTCGATACACAAGAGCATATATTCTACGTATGAACAATTTCTAAATTGGGATAGGCTATTGGCAAACAAATTGATGAAACAACAATAATATCACCAGTTTCGACTAAAGTCATTTAATTTCTAAGATGGATACGGTGACCTTGTAAGCAAAAACAATCTATCATTAAGTCAAACACTGACTGATGTTTTTCCTTAGTCCATTATTTACACACCACATTATCGACGAATATCCCGTTATTTCCCAATCATGACAAAGGGCATACGGTGAGTGTGACCGGTTGGCAGGGAATGATCAATCCTCCATAATTCCTTATCCCACCTCTAAAGTTTTAGAGGTCCATGTTTCTCTGCTTCCTTTTGTTATAAACTTTTGAGCTCGATTGCTGTTCATTATCTCCACAAACTCCATAAATTTCATGTGATTTATTAGGGTCAAATCACCTAACATGTTGATATAAATATCTGGCATGTAAATATTATTGATTCGCATGGTGACATTGAAAAAATGCTTGTATTAAGTCAATGTCTTCATATTACATTGCACATCAACATTACAAGTCGCAGATTATGCCATGTGATTATAATGATTTTATATTCCATGTTAATATTATTTATCTTTCAATGCAAGGCATACTTATCCCTCAAATTGAATGGAATAAATATTTATTTCTAGGGCAAAGGTGTAATGAAAACATACTGGTTAAATCGAAGAAACGGAATCCAGCTGATCTAAATTATTCTTGGAATCTGACTGATCAACATATTTCTGTTTCATAACGAATTCATGTTTATAATTTTCAAACATCTATATGATAATCTTTTGAAGTTCATCTAAAACATTTGTAATTTACATTTCTTTCTTTTTGTATTTCATTTAATATGTATAATATTTTACAATGATTGTTATTGCTGTTATAAACCCATTTATTTTTGCAATATGCCATGAAAATAAAACTTTTATCACTATAAACAGATGTATTTAGATATATTACTCACTATAGACAGCAATGACCTTCTAAGAACTAATCTGAATGATAATCAAACAAGAGTAAATTAAACGAAAATACTTAAACTTTTCCATTGTAAAATTTCTTTAATTATGCAGTAGTATTCCACAATCACCTGCATATGGTGTTTATATATGTCTCTCAACTTATTTGAAACTCAATTAACAGCATGTCCTGAGTACAATCAATTTTAAACAACCGAGGCACGCTACTCACATATACGTAGATGTTAAATTTCAACAACCTTGTTTAAAATCACCATTTCGTAATTCTACATGACGTTAAATGACCTTATAAACAAATATAACGTATCACTTGGTCGCTTTTTTTCATGCCAATTGTTAGGCATTTATCTGTATATTAAATCTGATTTCGGAATGTTATGTCTCCTTGATCATTTTTGAAGCTCATGCAAGTGTTACCAGTCAAATAGAAGATGCTTACTTCTAACCATCTGATCCCATCTATGGAGATTTAGGGATCTGTGCTTGTGCCCTGTTAAAATATTTGTAGTTTGCTGTTTTGTATTGGATTGATTAATGTTCGTTATCCTCGCCACTTGCAATGTTTTTTTATTTTCAAAAGTATTCATAAAATGGGTCAACTCTTTGTATAACTAGGGGCTTTTATTATCAACACATTATGCATCACCGTGTAGCAACATTTCAGGTTTGTCTGAATCATTACCCTCTGGACCAGAAAAGATGCATTAGGCTGTCAAGTTATTGAAATAGTAGATAAATAAAATTACATGTGTGGCTTAGGCCTATAGAAAATAAGTTCCTTAGGACACCCAGGAGAACCTTAAAGCTTCTGTTTATCTAATGACACTTTTTCACTAGAATTAAAACGTATAAGCAGGAATTATCATTTCAATATATTTCAAAATATCTTTAAAGAGGCTTATTATTCTAGAAAAAATTAATTGAATGTAATGGACAAATTCATTTTTTTTAAAACAAAAAGTGGGTCGACCCACTCAGACTCCAAGGTCATAAGGTCGGTTATGTTCATACTAAAAAAGGCCATATCACAAGAAATATACAAATTGAATATGAGAGCCATCGCTCCAACCAATCAAAATTTAGGGGCAAAAATGTCAAAGGTAATTGCGGACAGACAAACAGACAGAAGCAAAAATTATAAATCCCGAATCTTCGGTTACAGGAGCTTAATAAGAACAGGAAAAGGCTTTCAGATAAACAAACCAAAACCCATGGCATGATCGATAAAACAGAATGCACATATATTTTATTATAAAAAAAATAATGAAATTTATCTGGATAGCGTGAAAAATTATTCAGTGAGTCTCAAATAAAATCATTATCTAAATTATCAGCAGCAGTTTATCTCGTAGCAATCGAATTGTAAACAGGACATCCGGGTAAAGGTCATTCGGTCATTCGAGAAAATAAAAAAGGTGATAATTAAAAGAATGCAGCCCTACTCCTGGGTTTGGGTTTTGAAATGTTTTAAATTCAAAATCTGATACGTGAAAAGAAGAAAATGATTGCTGTGTCATTCAACTCAATATTAAGATACTAGTATATCGATATATCATACAGCCCTGTGAGCTTGTAATAAAAGGGCCTAACAGACCTGTTTCATATTAAGATAATTTACTTGAAGAAAAACAAAACGTTAATGGTTATCTTACAAAAAAGACCTATGATAAACGTTAATACTTTTACTTCCAATCACCACCTTCTCTTACTTATGCAGCAATATTATACCTTCATCACGTGCATAGGGAGTTTATATCTCTCAGTTGATTCGATACGCGAAAGCATGCTCTACCTACAGTGTATTTACAATTTCTAAAACAATGTTAATTATTGACAAACAAGTGTGATGAATAAGAAATAACAGCAGTATCGTTTAAAGTCATCATTAATCGTAAGTTCTATGGTCGATACAATGACCCTGTCAGCAAATACAGTTTAATATTAAGTCAAATGTTGACTGGCGTTTTTCATTTATTATCAGGCCATTATTTAAATACTGAATTCAATGTCGACAATTTTTCCTTTTATTTCCCGATCATGAAAAGGAGCACATGACTGGTGTTACTAGTCGCCAGGGAATGCTCATGCCTCCATGGTACCTGATCCTATTCTTGATGTTTCGGTCCATGTTTACTCTGCTCCTTTTTTCTACTATTTATGAACTTTTGATCTTGAATACTGTTCGTTATCTCCATATGTTTCATCTGTTCGGAAAAGCTGGTTCGGATAGGTATCTCCATATGTTTCATAGTATATAAAAACGCGTACAGATAATCAATATAAGTGGTGTTGGATGTCACTCAAATTCTGATAATAAAAATAAATGTTCTCATACTAGAAGAATCTTATAATGAAGGGAAAAAGGCGTGCAGAATGCCTATACATGTAGCTTCAGATATTAAGAAATCATATTCTATATGTGAATTGAATTATAGTATTTAAATTATGTTCTCAATATCAAACTTTATGAAATTATGAGAAACCAAATTTTCCAGAAAGAAATAAAATCTTGGAAAAACTAATCCTTTATAAAATTAAAATGGTTTTTGTAGGATTCGAACTCTAGCAATAAAAATCCGGATTATCATACTGCATTGAGACTCCGTTATTAGCAGACTTATTTTTATATTCATATGAAGCAGAATTTATGCAAAATCTTATGCGTGAAAAGAAGAAAACACTTGCTGTGGCCTTCAACTCGACATTTTAGATATAATTTAATATAATGTAATTTCCATTCCTACGTCGATACGATATATCCTGGTGAGCTTGAGATAAAAGATACCACAGAGTCCGACACTTCTGCTTCATACTTGGATATTTTACTTGAAAAAGATACTAATGGTAATCAAACAACCAAGCTATATGATAAACGTGATGACTTTAACTTTTCTATCGTCAACTTCCCTTACTTATGCAGCAACATACCTTCATCACCTGCATACGGAGTATATATATCTCAGTTGATTCGATACGCAAGAGCATGCTCTACTTATGAACAATTTTTAAAACGAGGTAAATTATTGTCAAGCAAGTTGATGAAACAAGAATATCAGCAGTCTCGTTTAAAGTCGTCATTTCTTAAGTTCTATGGTGGATACAATGACCTTGTCAGCAAATATAATTTATCATTGAGTCAAATGCTGACTGACGTTTTTCATACCAATTGTTAGTCCATTATTTATACACTGAATTGATGTCGGATTTTCCTTTTATTTCAAGATCATGACAAGGAGCACACGGGAGGGGGATGCTCACTCCTCCATGGTACCTGATCCCACCTCTGATGTGTCGGGGGTCCGTGTTTGCTCTTCTTTTATTTTGTATTGTTTTATGGACTTTGAGATTGAATACTGTTCGTTGTCTCCATATCCATGATATCCTTCTACTATAGCGCTAACCACTACGCCACATGGCTTTTGAAATAAACTTGAAATATTTTTTGAAAAAGATGTCATAAAAGTGTAATTTTGGTATATGGCATTTATGTAATTATGATTATCTGACATGACCCATATAGAAAAAAAAAATGTTTGAAAATAATACCTTTTGAAATAAACATTTTGAATTTTGAAAAAGAAAAAACATGTAAAATTTGGATAAAATTGAATTTTTTTTTCACTTCATGTCTGTTGCACAGTAGGCACTTCGTCCGTCTTATTCCCCCATCTTCTTTAGATGCATATTTAAATATAATAAAACTTGGTTTATTATTATAAAAAATTGCATACAATGTATCAGCCGATAATTCGTTATATACCGGTATTAGAATATTTAAGAACATCAAGTATTCGCATTATTGATATCAAGTATTTCTTCCAGATATGAATTTTTATGATTTAAGGAATTTGCCTCATTGATATCAACAGTTTCATCTTTTTATGCCTCCGTAATAGAATATCGAGGTAAATAGTTTTACCATGTCCGTCTGTCTGTTTTCCTGTTTGTTCGCAATAACTTTAATCTTGGACATAACTGTAGAGTGGCTGGCGAAATGGCCTACATATAAGGGTGCTAGGGCTTTAAAACTTCACATTTATAAAAACTGTAAATGTAACTCATCAGGAGAATTCATTCAAAAGAATTTCAACATGCAACTATTTTGTAACGAGTTCTGCTATGCAGTGGTGAATCTGTACATTAGAGGTTCTAATCTAAATACATGTTGTGAAGACCATCATTATAAGAAACTGTCAGCTCAAAATTGACTCCATATATACACACACTATCTTATAAGAGCGAATTTCATGCAGGTTCAATCAGGTCTCCCAACTTATATAAAAAATTCTCGAAGGGTTTTTAAAGCAAACACTTAACGAACAAACATGAGACATATATTTAATAAGTTCTTAATGTCAATTATTATACAACTTTCGCTTAAAAACCCAGAGGGAATGTTCTACGAAAAGAAACAAGAGGCCCATGGGCCACATCGCTCACCTGAGCACTGTGACTAGCATAAAAGCAGAACTTATTTATATTGAAAAGTTTAAACCCTCGGCCCTACCCCCAGGGGTCATGATTTGAGCAAACTTGAATCTACTCTACCTGAGGATGATTCCACATGAATTTCATCTTTCCTGGCTCAGTTGTTCTTGAGAAGAAGATTTTTAAAGATTTTCCCTATATAATTCTATGTAAAACTTTGTTCGGCCATTGTGGCCCCGCCCTACCCCCGTGGGGTCATGATTTGAACAAATTTGAATTTACACTACCTGAGGATGATTCCACATGAGTTTCATCTTTCATGGCCCAGTGGTTCTTGTGAAAAAGATTTTTTTAAAATGCCATTAATTTTTCACTAATTCATAATTATCTCCCCTTTGAAGAGAGCTTGGCCCTTCATTTGAACAAATGTGAATCCCCTTCACCCAAGGATACTTTGTGATAAGTTTGGTTGAAATTGGCACAGTGGTTCTTGAGAAGATGAAAATGTGAAAAGTTAACGACAACAACGACAACGACAACAACGACGACAACGACAGACGACGGACAAATTTTGATCAGAAAAGCTCACTTGAGCCTTCAGCTCAGGTGAGCTAAAAAGAGTTAAAATTCGTTTATACAGAACAAAAAATAATCTAAAAATACAATGAAACATATGAAATTTCTTAATTTATTTTTAATTGTTAGTACCATTACTTGCATATCACATAAGTTTTGAAGTATGTAGCATTTAATGCTTTTAAACTTTACGGAGTTTTTTTTTTTTGAAATAGTTCAACAAAAACGTTTATTGAAGCAAAAAAAAAAAACCTATCAGCTAAACAAATTATTCATGAAACAGATGCATCTTGCAACGGATCCCGGACGTGCTGACACGATTTTAATGCCATGTGTTCTCAGCGTAATTCAATAACATAACAAATAAAGGTCCTAACTATATATATAAATTAAACCTTCAAATAAAGCAAAGCATACATCAGTCCTTGTAAGCATGTTTCTGGTATTAATCTTTAGTATTTTAGTTGCAGGAACTAGAGGTTGGTGAATTTTTTTTTACTTTAAGTCCAATGTCATTCCGCCAATATTTCGATAAATGAATGAAAAAGATTTAAAATTACAAAAAAAAAACCCTCAATTCTTACTTGTTCGGATACAAAACAGAATTATTCTTATCCCTATCAAGAAATGTATCGTTAATGATTAAAAGTAATTTTTGTTTCTGACTCTTACATCGTTTCATAAAAAAAGTTTCAAATCGTACAAGATTTTTCAGAAAAATAAATGGTTGCGAAAGAGATTTTTATACTGAAACATCAGTGTTGTGTGATCTAACACTAAACATAAAGACCCCCCAACAACTTTCGTAAAGCTTTTGTAATATTATAATCTAATTTATTTCTTAATTAAATGTACTGTTTTACTTAAATTAAGAGCGCTTACGGTTGACACAAAGTGCACGGTGCTATTTTCAATCTAGCTAAATGTATTTAGGGTTCGATGCTGATGCTATTGTTCAAGCTGCATGTGCGGCAAGTGCAACCAATGGTCACTTTGTATCTGCAATTCGGAAACCATGCGGCACAGGACCCTCCTGTAACACCCTTTGTCAGAATGCTATCGGCAGTATGAGAGATATCTATGGAAATCAAGGATCAAGCACGTACGTTTTTATTTTACATTAGTATAAGAGAGTTCATTATGTCCTTAAAACTAGTTTGGATGAAAAAATTGTTACTGCGGGACAATTGGTTAGATTCCTTTTTAGATATTGACAATAAAAAAATGTACGTTGGGGGCAAGAGTATGTTGTCAAAAAAAAAATGAATAATTTAAAAAATGATTTTTGGAGGGATGTGTTGCATGCATGGCTAAGCTTTTGTGACAAATCATTACAAAATAACACACTTACTTCTTTAGAACCATTATTCCTAAAAAAAAAAACCATTAATAAAAAGCCATTCTTCTATAAAAAAATGGTTTTCATGTAACATTTTATGTATAAATGACATACTCAGTGAAGATTGGACATTTATGAGTTTTAATGATCTACATATGAAATACGTGATAAAACACATTTTCTTGAATATAATTGCATTAGGGCATCAATATTAGAATGGCTGAGAAAGATAAACAGAGATCAAAATAACTTTTCAAAGACAGCTTACCCATATATCCCAGATAATGTTTATTCGCTCCTGAATGCCAAAAAATCACATGACTTATATGATAGGAACAATGGTGAATGTGAGAGAATTTATTTACTTCCATACATAATTACAAAAAAACACCAAACTTCAGTGGTTCCAATTTAGAATAAACCATAAAATACTAGCGACAAATTCCTTCCTGCACAAAATTAATAAAACTGATAATAAAACATGTACCTTCTGTGAAAAAGAAACTGGAACAATAGATCATTTGTTGTGGGAATGTGAACATGTTCAGTCTCTTTTAGAGAATTTTGCAAACTACTGTTTCGATAAAATCCACACTACATGTACTTTAACGAATTTTTATTTGGCTCTGTGAAGAAAACTGATAAGCTTAAAAATATTATTGCCTTACAAATAAAACATATCTATCTGTACAAGTTGCAAATCATGTCATTCCTACTTCTATTTCAAAACCTTAAATGTTTTCTTTTTACATAAAAATATTTTACAATATAGGTCTATAAGTTGATATTACCAAATGGAAATAAATAATTTAATAAAATGGATATCAACTTCTCCGACGTTTCTCTAATGTTCTTACTTTTTCAGTACATGTATATATTAGCTTTTTGGTTTTTAAAGTATGTGTTTGCTTTTTTAAATAGAGGAAGCTGTTTTCAAGCATTTCATTTTTACTACAAGTATTCTCCTCAAACCCCAGGAAGCACTGGCAAAGCGCAGTTGGCGATGTACAGATATGCAAATGGTTGCGATGGCACATCATGTGGTCCTAACTTCTGTTGTTGTCAGGCATAAATGACTTTGTGAACAATATAATATTCTTTTCAGATCCTTAATAAAAGAGTCAAGTATCTTAACGTGTTTCCTATTCTTCAGCATTGTGTTTTTTCCGATTTAAATACTCTACAAAACAAGTGTGACCTGTTTTGTATAATTACATGTATCCTTAAAGATAACAATTAATAGAAGAATGGCACCTTATTTATTTGCTACCAGCATTGTAATTGTTAATTATTCTTTAAAAATCAACAAATATGACCACTGTAATAGCATAAAGTACATGTACGTGTCCGTGTTTAATCAAATATCCTAAAAAAATACTGGTGTTTCAATCTTTCTTCTCGACGACAAAAACTTCCTTTGCCGCAGTGTTTTTGTCCGATCGCGATGTTTTTCCATAATGTCGATAGACATGATTTCCCCCAATGATCTAACGAGCCATACAATACAAATGCAAAATATGAAATCAGCAATTTTTACAGTTTTCAAGTAAAGGCATTCTTATGTCGATACGATAAATTTCGGTGATCTTAAGATAAAAAAAAATATTACAGAGTTTAATATATCTGTTATTTTTTTTATTTCATGATGAGATCAATCGAGTGGCTTGCATGATACTAGTAATTTGCATACACGCCGAATAAAGTTATCACGCAAGCCAATCGATTGATCATCGCCACGAAATGAAAAAATCTGACAGTATATATACACACGGAATTTTCGAAGGGATATAGATATTTCCGTTATTTCCCGATCATGGCAAGGATCACTCGGCCGGTGCGACCGGTTGGCAGGGGATGCTGTCTTTTCCACGACACTTGATCCCAGATCTGATGTTTTTTGAGGTCTGTGTTTGCTTTGCTCCAATTTTGTACTATTTAATGCTCTTTTGAACTTAATACTGTTCGTTATCTCAATATATTTCATGAAAAAAAGCTCAAAATTCGTTAAAACAATGCCAATCGGGAGCAGAGCAAACAAGGGCTTCTAAAAACATCAAAGGTGGGATCAGGTGCAATTGAGGAATGAGGATATTTTTCCAATCAGTACATTCCGCCCATAACTAAACACTTGTATGTAAAACGTCAGTCTTTATTTGACTTACTGATAAGTTTTGTTTGCTACAGAGTTCATTTATCGACTAAAATGGTGGCCTCAAACGATACTGATAATATTTTTTGTTTTATCAACTTGTTTGTCAATAGCTTGAGTTGTATGTTTTTGCGTATCAAATGGGAGACATACAGGTGATAAGAATCTATATTGACGATCGAAAAGTTGAAGTCATCACGTTTACTTAAGTAAGGTTAGGTATGCGTTTTTTTATACCCCCGCTTGAAAAGTGGGAGGGTATAGTAATCGATATGTCCGTCCGCCCGTACATTCGTCTTTCCGTCTGTTTGACTGTACGTCCGTCCGCCTGTTACGCTTTGGCACTAGTGTGGAGTACCCATCTCTTATCTGCAACTCCTCTCATACCACTGAGTGAAATTTGATAAAACTTTTACAGAATCTTTATTACATAATGCCATTGTGTACCTCCTATTATACTTTTTGATCAGACACATATTTTGGGTTTCCCACAGCAAAACATGGATACTGCCATATTATTAATATGGGAGGCGGGGGGTATCATTTAATGAGCTCATTGCTCACAGTACCTCTAGTTTTGTTGTGTTTTTTAACGTAATGGAATGGGTTCAAATACTTTTATCTAGATTGCAGATAATATGCACCATTATAGAAAAAAAAATCACATTTGATAATCCTATCCTTTATGATTTCTAGGGACTGTAATAATATCACTGTTATTTTTAATAAGAGCAATTAGGGATCATTAGCTAGTTAACGATAAAGGTCAATTACATGTAATTTAATTATAGTACAAACGAGATGACTGCAGTTTTCCTTAATATACCCCCCGCTTGAAAAGTGGGAGGATATACAGTAATCGGTATGTCCGTCCGTCTGTTACGCTTTTGGGTAACTATCTCTTATCCGCGACTCCTCTCATACCACTGAATGAAATTTGATGAAACTTTCACAGATTCTTTATAACATAATGCCATTGTGCACCTCCTATTTTACTTTTTAACCTAACACTTATTCCGTGCCTCCAAGAGCAAAACAATGACTTTGTCATTATGATCATATGGGAAGCGGGGGATATCATTTAGTGAGCTCGTTGCTCACAGTACCTCTGGTTTCTTTAGTAATACTCCACTGACACTTGCTTGATGTGTTTCTGTCTCTCATTTTATTCACCACTTATAGCATTCTCTGAGTTCGACTATTTCTTAAAGCGAGGCTAGCTGCAGTACTGCGACTCTCTGCTTGAGAAAAATCGGACAGATAAAGCTGAGAGCTGCATCTATGCATTGTATTGTAAAAACCTTCGATTTAAGCCACCGATTTTTGTCGCTCACTTCAGGTATTATTTCTTATATTTTATGTTTTCCCCAGCTTTATCAATGATATCCGATAATTAACCATACATCTAACTCCTATTTCTTAATGTTTATTTACCTTTTAACGATTCAAGAATGGCCGTTTGTGGAAGTGGTCATAAAAATGGGAATCTTTTAAACCGACATTCCAAATTCAAAGCGGACTGTTTCGGATCGTTGAACGGTAAATACAGTATCAAACTAGAGGTATTGCGAGCAATGAGGTCACTAAATGACGTCCCCGCCTCCCATATGGTTATAATGGCAAAGTCCATGTTTTGCTGTGGCCGGAAAACCCAAAATATGTGTCGGATCAAAAAGTAAAATAAGAGGTGCACACTGGCAATATATAATAAAGATTCTGTGAAAGTTTTATTAAATTTTATCCAGTGGTACAGAAATTAAGAGTTGCGGATAAGAGATGAGTACCCCAAAGCTAACAGACATGCAGACGGACGGACGGACATACCGATTAATATATACCTTCACGATTTTGAAGCGGGGGTATAATAAAATGTATGATTATTTATCGGATGCCAATCTAAGAGCGTAAAAAGCATAAACTACAGGCGTGGATCCAGGATCTTTTTCCCAGGGGGCCCGATCCAGTCAACAAAAATTTCCAACCCAAAAATTTCTTGGCAAGCAAAAAAAGTAATCATTTCCAA